TCCATGGGCTGGGACCAGGGCTGTTTTGCTCACGCTTTATACTGGGCCCCACATATAGGAAGTGGTCAGTAAATGCTGGAAGGAGTGGATGAAGCGGTCTCTAAGCTGAACTTAAAACATGAGTAGGAATTCACTTGGAGAAGGATCTGGGGAGGGTGCTGCAAGCAGAGGGAATAGCTTCTGTCCCAAGGCGACACCCAGGATGGGTGTGAGATGAGACAGAAGAGGTGGACAGCGGGGAGCTGGGAGCTGATGAGGTCAAATGTGCCTCAGCCAGCGTCCTCTGGGGCAGTGGGGAGACAGCTAGAGAAGGGGAACCGAGGCTGCTGGGACCCGGTCAGGGCAGTGGGGATGGAGAGGCAGACAGATTTAGGAAACTTTAGGGGATAAAATAGTGACAGCTGACAGGTTCTTCTGAATACCAGCAGAAACCTGACTGCCTGCCCACACACCGCCTGGGCCCCACTCTGGGCTCCTCAAGCCTCTGCGCCCATTCCCCTGTCCTGCCAGCTCACGGCCACATTGCTTCCCCTGGATCCTTTGCTCCTTGAAAAGAGGCAACACCGGGCAGTGGGAAGAGCCAGCTTTGGAGGCAGCCAGGCTTGGGCACGAAATCCATTTCTGCCATCTATTGGCTGTGTGATCTGGGGCAAGTTGCTCTCTCTGGGCCTCACTAAAGTCGGGGTGGCAGTAACTTCCTGGTCAGGGTGGTTGTGAGGTGTACGTCAGATGTGACATCGATGTTGTAGAAGGCACAGGTGGGCGTCTGAGAGCTACATGCTGCTCACACATGTCTTGCTTGGTCCACAGTTTCGTTTTTAAATTAGCTAATATTTAAAAATCAGGAGATTTCACTTTACCACGGAGATTTCCACCTGAGTGTTCCAGGCATTCCTAAATGAACTGGTCAGCACCACCCCTACAGGCAGAACAGGTGCTTCGCCGTGACACGGTACCCACCCTGCCGTATGGTGTAGCCACCTGGCCCTGGCAGGCACTGGGTCTGGGACCCCTGGCTTCAAATGCGGGGCCATCCTCACAGCAACCCTGGAAGGCTGGGGTTAGGTTCCTGTTTCACAGGAGAAGGAACCAAGCGTCAGGAGAAGGTAAAGCTGTTGGCAACCTCACCCAGCTAAGAAACAAGGTCTGGCTGAACCCCCAGATCTGACCCCCTTGAGGCCCTATACTTCCTGCTCCAGATCTAAATGCTGCTGGCCCTGCTTGGCCTGAGGGTTCTGGGGATTGACAGCCCAACACCAGGGAGAGCTGAGCTCTGCCCAGAGTAATTCAAAAACCACTCATTGATAGGCACACATGGGGCCAGGCCCTGTTGGGACTTAGCAGTTAATGGAACAGTTGATGGTTCCTGCTCTCCTGGAGCTTACCTTTGAGCAGGAAGAAGGGGGAAGAGGCAGATGATAAGCAGTGGACACAATAGGTAAATTACCTGGTAGCATGTTAGTAAGAGAAGAGTTATGGAGAAAAGGAAAACACGGAGATAAAGGTATTGGGAGCATGGTGTCGGGAAGGCAGGTTGGAGTATGAACTGGTGTCATCACAGTGGACCTCATGGAAAAGGTGACATTTGAGCAGAAACCTGAAGGTGGTGAGGGCTGAGCCTTGCAGAAATGGGCAGAGCAGTTCAGGCAGGGGGGTGGCTGATGTGGCGCTCCAAGACTGCTGTGCCTGGCGCATCAGCCGTGGGTGAGAGGCCATCTGGGGAGAGCAAAGGGACAAAGGCCAGACCGCTGCCCCTGGGCCCTTCATAGGGCTGTGGCTTTTGCTCAGAGAAATGTGGAGCAAGCAGGAATTCGAGCAGAGGGGGATGTGGACTGGCTCAGGTTGACATCTGTCTGTAGGGCCAGAAGGAGGAGCTTGGAGGCCAGTTTTGTGCAGTCACCCGGGCCAGAGCTGCCCGAGGGTCACATCCTGCATCAGGGAGGCTGAGAAAAGTGGTTGGAATCTGGCTGCATCTTGGAAGTAGACCCAACAGGATTTCCTGGAGGATCTGATGTGGGGCCTGAGAGAAAGGGGGGAACTTGGCCTGTGTAGATGGAAGGATGGAGTTGCCATCAACTGAGGTGGAGATGGCTGTGGGAGGAGCAGGTTTGGGGGCCAGAGATTGGGAGCTTGGCTATGGATGTAGCAAGTCTGAGAGGCATGGATTTCCATGGGGAGACTGCAGGGGTGGAGATAGAGAGAGGGAGGGTGGGGGTAAAGATGTAACCTTTACTCTGGGAAGGAAGAGAGCCCAAGGCCAGCCTTCTTGTGTCCTGGGCTCTGGAGTGGAGGGGGCTGAGCCCCCTGGTGACTGTCGCCTCCTCCCAGGAGATCATGCATGCCCTGAAGATGACCTGGCACGTGCATTGCTTCACCTGCGCAGCCTGCAAGACGCCCATTCGTAACCGGGCCTTCTACATGGAGGAAGGGGCACCCTACTGCGAGCGAGGTACCTGGTGGGCCAGGCGAGGCAGCGAGGCCCAGGGAGGGGGGCGGGGTGTGGGGCAGGCGAGAACGGCACCCCCTTCCTCTTTGTGTTGGCCTCCAGACTATGAAAAGATGTTTGGCACAAAATGCCGTGGCTGTGACTTCAAGATTGACGCCGGGGACCGCTTCCTGGAGGCACTGGGCTTCAGCTGGCACGACACGTGCTTCGTGTGTGCAGTGAGTGTGCCGCCCCAGACTCGGGTCCCAGCCCCAGTGCCCTGTGTTCTTCACCAGCCTCCCTCCCACCCCCGCCTCTGGGATTCATGAGAGGTTGGGAAGGGACCTCCCCTGCCACCATCTGTCACCCCATGTGACTGGACCTTGGCTGTCCCCAGATATGTCAGATCAACCTGGAAGGAAAGACTTTCTACTCCAAGAAGGACAAGCCCCTTTGCAAGAGCCATGCCTTCTCCCACGTGTGAGCCCTGTCCATCCACTGCTGCCTTGCCCAGCCCAGCCAGAGAAGTCACTGGTTCTGGAGTCATCACCCCAAGATTTCTGAGGAGGGCAGACAAAGGTTGCCCCAACCCTGACTCCTGGCCCGAGCCTGGGGTTCCCTGGGCCCTGCCCCACCCCCTTCATCTACCCCGCACTTCCTCCACCACCCTCACACACCGGTGCTGGCCACACCAGCCCCTGTTCACGCCCAGTGCCACAATAAACCTGTATCCAGCTGTCCCGCGTGTGCTTCCCGCTACGCATTAGGGAAGGTGGGACTTGAGGCACATAGCAGAGTGGAGACTGAGATGGTTTTCCCAGGGCTGACCATCCTGGTGGTCCTTGTGATGGGGACATGGAGGGCTCCTGGTCATCAGGAGGAGGTAAAGGGGATGCCATGTGCTAGGCCCAGGCACTGCAAGTGAGGAGGTCACAGAAGGTGGAGTGGGAGTGGCCTGGCTTGGAGGTCAGAGGAAGTGGGTGTGCACCTGATGAGCTTGGACATGGAAAGCAGTGATGGCCAGAGTGAAGGCCCAGATGTGCCGGCTGCCATCTGTCCGCTGCAGCAGCAGAAGGGGCAGCTGGAAAGGGCAGCCCCCGGGTCCTGGGAGGCCACAAGTGCCAGGCCAAGGAGCTGGGACTACCTCCTGAGGGCAAGGTGGGGGTGGGGGGTCAGGGCACAGAAGAGTTTAAAATAGTGAAGCAACCAGTTCAGATCTGTGTTGTGGAAAGACCTCTGAGAGCCAAGAGCCACGAGCAGGGTGGACAGAAGGACGGAGAGTAGGAAGAGGGGCAGCAGCCAGGGGAAGGGAGGAGCAGGAGCTGACATGGCAGAGATGGGACCCAGTGACAGGTCCCAGGGAGCCTAGAGTGAGGGCCTGGGGGATGAGAGGTGGGGAGAGGAAGGAAGGAAACTTTGCCAGGGGTCTAGAATGGACCAGCTGTTCCTTACATCATCTCACATGATTTCCCTGCAGCCCCGTGAGGTGTCTGCAGTTAGACTCATTCATGGATGAAAGGTTAGGAGACCTGACCAAGGTCGCTGAGCCATGAGCCAGGCTAGAAGCCAGGCTGAAGCTGGGTGCACTGTCCCGGGCCTGGCTGGCACTGAGCACTGTTCACCAGTGAGTGTCCCTCTGGGAAGCTCACTTCTGCCTGGGACCTCAACGTCTGCAGCCTCTGGTGGTGGCCTCATCTTTCCCCAGGGCCCCTTGCTTCCCACTGCTGCCCTCCACCACCCTAGTGGGGACTGTCATCCCTCCTATCCCAAGCCTGGACTGGAGAGGGACCGAGGAGAGGGCCCAGACTAGGCCTGGACGACTCAGTGTGCCCATTGTCACCTGTCCTTTGGGGCTCCCTGGCATGAGGACTCTCAACACATCTAAAGTTGTTGGCATTCTCAGCAGGTCCTGGGGCCCACTCCCTTTAAGAGAAGAGAAGGGTCTGTTGTGTTCTCTTGAGGAGCCCTGGAGCATGAGTACAGGACTTCCTGTGTTATTTTCATGATGTCTTGCCAGAGCCTAGAACAGTCCCTGGCCCACAGTGGATGCCTAATGAATATTTGTTGTTGACTGAATGAGGTGCCTGTGGGACATTTAGGAGACCAACTCAGAGCAGCTGAAGATTCAAGTCTGGATTCACCTTGGATTCAATTCAAGAATGAGTTTGGGACAGGTCCGGCACAGTCATCATGGATGCTTGTCACTGATGCTGAGAGAGGTGGGGAGCAGGGCACAGGCAGGCCACTCAGGAGTAAAGCAGGAGGGATGTGGTTATCTTTCAACCTAGACATCCCTAGCATGGTAAACACAGTATCTTTCACTTCCACAAAGAAGTGTGCTCTCTCCCACTTCTCTTGAACCGGGAAGCCCTCTCAGTCCATCCTTGGTTTCCATGGATACAAGTGAGCAAGAGCACAGGGCTGGATGGTGAGTGCTGTTGGGAGCGATCTGGGGGCAGCCGCCCACCCTTGGCCTCAAACAAGGGCCACCGTGTGGGAATGCCGGCTGTGGCCAGATCTACCAGTTTACTGACAGTGTCCAGAGATTCAGACTTTTATGTGAAATCTGGTTTTTGAATGTTGGCAACTAAGTTAGATTTTTTTAAATCCTATTAAGAAAAACAATAAACGTGGGCCAAATCCAGTGTGAGGACAACTGGGCCCCAAGCATAGAGAAGAGATGAGAAACCGGGAAGCAGCCCTGGGCAGAGAAAGCGGGAGGAGCCCCGAGAGGCAGAGGACGACCTCGGGAGAGCTCGGAGAGGAGAGCTCCGGGGACAGGGAGGCCGGCCGGGGCAGGAGTGTTTCCAGAAGTTGCCAACAGTGTCAACCAGGCAGATAAGGCTGAGGAGTCCCCATGGCATTTCGCAACAAGGTGACATTTGCCAGATCAGTTTAGCAGGGAGCTGTGGCGGCTGCCAGGGTTAGAGGAATAAGAGGGCGGGTGGTGAGGATGTGGAATGAGAGAGTGTAGATAAGAGTGTAGACAGCTCCTTTAAGAGGCTTGGCTATGGTGGGCAAGAGGAAGACTGACAACTAGCAGCCAAGGTTAGCTGAGCAGCCAAGATGGATGGAGAGAGGAAGCGGGGAGGCATGCGCCAAGGGAAGAAGAACGAGAAGTTGTAGGGGGATATAAGGGTTAAGAGCAGAGAGCTGGGGACTGAATCTCAGAAAAGAGGAGCTAGCCTAGATGGAAGTAAAAACAAGCACGGGGTGTCTGCTCTGAACAGCCCCTCTCTGCCAGGAGCCACACAGCAATCGCTTTTATGTGATTTAATCATCCAAACACGCTTAAGAGAGGTCATTAAAGGCACGCTTCAGATGAGGGAACTGAGGCTCAGAGAGGGAAAGTGACCTGTCCAGAGCCAACCAGCCAGAATGGCCCAGGTCTGCTGCTCTGAGAATCAAAGGCTGAGGTGCTCCCCATTGCACCCCCCAGCTGCCCCCCACCACAGAGCTGCAGGGATCACAGTGTTCCAAAGCTGGGGCGCTAGGCTGTGTGGGTGGAGGCCGTGGGGACTGGGAAACGTCCTTGTGCCAGGCAGGGGAGGCCATTAGCGCCCTTGGAGAGTGCAATCTCCCCAACCGAGGGGGCAGAGCCCATGGCGGGGGGGCGAGTGGGCAAGTGGAGAGGCAGGAGGCAAGGGAGGGGTTTTTCCAGCTCAGAGCGGCTGGAGCTCATTTGAAGTCAGCAGGGAGAAGGGCGGTGGAGGGCGAGGTACTGTTGGGCTGGAGTACAGAGAGAAGCAGGAACTGACGATTCCGCTGCTGCTTCCTCAGTGCTGGGCCCCACGTGGCCTTGGAACACGCACAAGGTGCAGACAATCCTGTGGACCCCTCCAAGCAGCGCTGCTACAGGAAGGGAGCTGAGGCTGTAGGCTAAAGGGCCCAGCCCCAGGGCACACCGGGAGCAGCAGCCAGGGTTCCGGAGGCCAGGATGGGACAAGAAGCCTGCTGGGAGCCTGGGGAGAACTCAGGAGGCCAGGGCCAGCCCTGGGAGATTGTGCAGTGGGGTCACTACAGGGTGGCCAGGGAGGGCCCCAGGACCAGATGGAGTCCTCCCACTCAGGGCCTGGGGGCACTAGCAGGTCAACTCAGCTTTCATCCGTGTCCCTGCCCACTGACAAAAATGACCACTACGGAGGAACTAGGCAGATTAGGAAGGACTCTTTCAGCTGCAATTCAAACTAGTTTGAGCAGAAATAGGGATAATTTGTCTCATTTAACTGAGAAGGTTAATGGCTTCAGACATGGTGGGATCTGGTACCCATGGATGTTATCAGGAGTCTCTCTGAGTGCTCTCTCTCCCGCTCTCTCCCTCTCTCAACTCTGCTTTCCTCAGTGCTGGCTTTATCCTCAGATGACTCCCCCCATTATCGGCAAAGACGCCCCTCAGCCAGCTCCAGGCCCACATCCTGCCAACTCAGCAGCCCCACTGGAGTCTTCCTTAACAGTTCTAGTCAAAGTCCCAGGGCTGACACCCATCGGACTGACATGGGTCCATCCTGGAGCGGTCACTTGTCCGACCCAGCGGCCTGGATCACGTGCTCCCCTCTGGAGCCTGTGGTGGAAAATCAGCCAGAATACAGAGGCAGGGTGCCTGACCTCAGACGTCTACTGCCCTGGGCCCGCTTCCGCCCGTCCAAGCCCAGCACCCCTGCCCCTTGACTCTTCTAGACCCCACAGCTCTAGCTCAGGGACTACTTCTGACCGAATTCCATGCCAGGTCAGCCCCTGGATGTGGAAATGGGGCTGCTAGAAGGGAAAGCAGGGAGGGTGTGTGGTGTGCTGAAGTGACCTGGGTCCCCATTCAGACTTTGCCACTCACCAGCTATGTGCCTCAGGGCAAATCACTGCCCCTCTCTGAGCCTTGGTTTTCCCATCTGTAAAATAGCAATAACAGCCGACACATCAACAGCACCTACTATGTGCAGTTAACACTTTAAGCACTTTCTAGATACTTTTTTAAAATCCTCAGACAGACCGCATGAGGTAGGTACCTTCGTTATCATCCCCATTGTATACCTGGAGATGAGTGAGACAAGAAAGGTCAGGCAAGTCTCAGGTCACTCGGTTAGCCATGGTTAGCCACGTTCGGCCCGTCAGGAGCAAAGCTGATGTGGTGAAAGCGGCAGGCCATGCCAGGGGTCGAGGTCTGGGAAGCGCAGTGAGCTGTAGCGACGAGAGGGCACTTGTGAAGGTGTGCTTGGCAGGAACCTGCAGAGGCAAGATGAGGGCAGAGAAGGCTCCACCAGCTGCTGCTGAAAAAGTCCTGAGGCCAAGTCAGCTTTGAAACCTCCCCGAGAGGTGTGGGGGAGCACAGAACGGGAAGGCGGGCCTGGGAGGGAGGAGGGCGGGGCTGCAGGGAGGAAGGGTGGGTGCTCTCACTTTTTAAGTCTCCATCCAGCTACATTTTATCCTTATAACATGTTATCAAACAGGCAACTCGGAGAGGGAAAGAGTTTCAGCCAGGGTCACACAGCAAGTCACCGGCTTCTGCGTCTGAATTATCCTTTTTTCTTCTCCTTTCCACTCTAGGACCAAAAGCCATTGGACCAGCCTCCCAGTGTGGGGGGAGTTCATGTTCTGGGGGTGGGAGAGACCTAACAGGTTAACACTAGAAGGGTATCAGTGCTGGGAGCGGTAGACATGACGGCCTAGTGGGAGAGCCTCCAAGGAGACCCCCAGCGCCCTCCGCCTATGCTGAGTGTGTGGGTTTCAGGGGCAGTGGATGGCTAAAGGGAGGCAGGTTCTCAGGGAACAGAGTCGTCAGTGGTCACGCCCATTCCCACCCGGCTGAAGAAACTGAGGACTATGACAGGGCCCCTGAATTAGGGGTCACTAGTGACCTTGACCAGGGCAGGGCCAGGGACAATATGGGAAGAAGATAGATGACAGATGTACAAATTATAGGGTGAGATGATGTGGGGGGGCAGAGGGAGAAGACCAGGGGTCAGCCTCAGGGCGTGTGTGTGAGCAAGGAACACTCTTGCTCCCCTGAAAATACAGAAAACTGGGGACAGGGCACTTGGGGACTCTGCACTGTCTGTGTAATTTTTCTGTAAATCTAAAACTGTTCTACACTTAAAAGTTTATTTAAAAATCTAGATGGCAAAGAGGTGAGAACGGGTGTGGTTGGAGAGAGTTTGTAGGTAGCTGGGGGGAGGCAGGAATTTGAGGAGGGGAGAGCATGCCCACACATAGGGCTTCTGTGTTTTGGTTGGGAACTGAGTGAGCAGGAGGCTGGGGAGGGGACAGGGAGGGGAAGGTGGGAGGGGCTCCGAGCAGAGACAAGTCACAGGAAGCAGGAACCGACTGAGGTCCCAGATTCCTCTACCTACCCCTCCCACGTACCCCTCAGTCCTGCTGTGGGGTCCCCTCCCTCCCCAGAATCCTACTAACTTTGCCTGGGCCTTGCTCCAAGTGGGGGCTGTGGAGAAAATGCCAGGGCTAGGGGTCCATGGGCACGGTGGGCGCAGAGTTCCCCAGGCAGAGGCCTGTGGGATGTTTTGAGTTTTAAGAGGTTCTTCCTCCTGCGCAGCCCCAGGAACCACGGCTAGAGCTCAGCGCGCACTCTGCTCTCTTCCTCTTGGCAGGGCCATCACCCATCTCGGAACTCGGAGTCCCTGCGTGACGCCTCCTCTGCCACCTCCCAGACTGGACCAGGTAAAGTTTGCTCAGGTTCTGTCCCCTGCCCTGAGAAGAGGAGGGTGGGAGGCTTTGCAGGTGGTGGGAAAGGCTTCTCAGGGCTGGGGAGGGTTTCAGGGTCCCACCTCAGCAACGAGTGGAGATGTTCCAGGAGGCCTTGGCAGGGGTGTCAACTTCCCTGCAGGGGACTTCTCTGAGGCCCCAGAGCCTACTGTGCTCAGAGATTTGGGAAATAAAGGTGCCAGGAGGCTGGCTCTAGAGTGTCCTTGGAGGAGTCCTGCCTTGGGAGTCTGGGGTTAGATGCTGCTTCCGGAACACTACTTGGGAGTCCTCTGGGAGGCCTGAGGCTTGGAAGAGAAGGCAAAGGATTTCCTAGACTGGTCCCCTGTGAGAGGGCCTAGGAGGCAGCGGGTAAGGGAGTGGGGGCTCAGCATAGGGGTGGGGCAGGGATGGGGGAAGAGGTTGGGAATGCTGGGGTCATGAGCCGGGTTGGGGCTAGGAATGGACAAGGAGGCAGGGATGGAGGGGTGTGGTTGGGAACTGGGATCAGAATGGGAACAGGATAGGCTGGACTGAGGAGGGTGCAGCTAGGGATGGGGTATGGTGAATAGGTGAGGGGTGCCTGCTAAGCAAGGGGTTGGGAGTGGTGCTGGAGCTGGGATGGGAAAGAAATGGGGCTTGATTTGGGGTGGGGATGCAGATGGCAGTGGACAGTAACGTGGATGGACTAGGAATGGGCCTTTCAAAGGTGGAGACCGATGCAGATGGACCAGGGGTGGCTGGTATGTGAACTGGGTTGGAGCAGGGGGTTGAGATGAACCAGGAATGGGGGGGATGGAAAGAAATTAAGCACGGAGTAGGGCTGGGCCGCACTGGAATGAAGTGATTTGGGATTGGGACCGCAGAGTTGGAAAGGAGAGGGACGCAGCTGGGCCTGGATTGGGGCGGGTGAGGTAGGGATGGGGCTGAAACCCCGGGGCTGGGGAAGAGGCGAGCGCTTAGGCCGGGGACACGGTAGGTGAGAGTTTGGGACGCGGGTGGTAGCGGTCTCAGGAGCAGAGGGGCAGGGCCGCCCGGGTCGGGCGCGCAGGAGCTGCGGCCGATGGGCGCGGGGGCGCCCCGGGGCAGGACGGGAAGGGGGGGCGGGCCTCCCCCTGGGCCGGGCCGGGGCGGCGCTAGGACCGGGCGCGCGGAGGGAGCGAGCCGGGCGGAGCCAGCGCCCCCCGCCCCCCGCCGGCCGGCTCCCCTCCCCCGGCCGCTGGCTCACTCGGCTCGCGGCGCTGCAGAGGCTCCGAGGCGGCGGCGGCGGCGGCGGCGGCGGCGGCGACTCCCTCTTTCCCTCCCTCCTCCTCCTCCTCCTCCTCCTCCTCCTCCTCCTCCTCAGTCCGTCCGTCTGTCCGTGCGTCTCCGTGCGGCCTCGGCCCGGCCCGAGCATGGCCGGCGTCAGCTTCAGCGGCCACCGCCTGGAGCTGCTGGCGGCGTACGAGGAGGTGATTCGGGAGGAGAGCGCGGCCGACTGGTGAGCCCCCCGCCCCCGCCCCCCGGCCCTTTGTCCCCGCGCCGCCGCCGCCGCGCCTTTGTTCCCGCCGGCCCGCCGCCCCGCAGCCGGCAGGGAGGGGAGACCCCGAATGGTGCAGCGGCCGGCGGGGCCGGGGAGGGGCCGCCTTTGTGCGCGCCGGGGGAGGGGCCGGCCCGGGCGGGGCAGGGCCGGGCCCGAGCGCCCGCAGGCAGCCCGGGGCGCGCGGCGGAGCGGGGGCCAGACGCGGGCTGCAGAGACGCAGGGTCCACATGTGTGGCCCGGGGCTGCGTGGCCCTGCGGGAGCCCGCCCCCCGCCCCGGGGCCGGGGGACAGGTGTACACGGGGCGGCCAAGGGCACCTTCGCCACCTCCGATGGGGCGAGGACCGGGCGGCGATGGGGCGGGGACCGAGCCAGCGGAGCCAGCGCAGCCTGCCTGGCCCAGCCGGGCCCGGCCCGGCCGCAGCACAAAGGAAAGCCAGGGCGGGGGAGGAGCGGAGCGGGCTGGGGGCCGTGGCGCCCCGCCCACCGGGGGCCTCCCTGAGTTGGGGTGTGATGGAAAGACGTTCACTGCCACATGGCAACCACCAAGTGACTCTTGTTCCCCTTAGGGGTCGCGGAGGAGGCAGGGATGAGTCCTCCTCTTCCCGATCTGAAGGGGATTGCAGGGACTGGGCAGCTGGGCTGGGTGATGCCAAGGGGACGGAACTGCCTTCCTAGGGGGCCAGCTGGGGTCCCTGAGAGGAAGCCCTCAGGCACAGAAATGTGGAGGGAGGCCGCAGAGAGGGATGAGGGGGTGAGTGGATCCACTGAGCCCCTAGCTCCATCACCCGGTGTAAAGGGGCTGTCGGCTCCCTGGTGGAGGAGGAGCTGGGCTGCCCTCTCCCTGCTGCCCTCTCCCCCCTCCCCAGCTGTTGTCTACCCCTGAGCTGTGGGAGGGGGTGGACCACCTGCTCTGGAGCCCGAGTCCCCAGGGTGGCGGGAGAGCTAAGGGGTTCCACACTGCCCCATTCGGGAATCATCTTCCCCCAAAACACTCTTATCCTGGGATAAGTGCCCATTCTGTTCTCTAGGCCCCCTCTCCCTCTGGCAGGCAGGAAACTGAGGCACAGAGTGAGTGCAGGTCTGAGAGTCCTCACTTGGGCTGGCCTCACCCTCATGCTGGGAGGGCAGTCAGGTAGGGATACTGACCTGGGGGCTGGAGGAGGGGACAAGATGGCCAGGCGTCCATGCCATGGTACTGCAGCACTGGCGGGCAGCCAGGCCTGGAGGAATGGACGCGGGAGACAAGCTCTCATGTCTTGCAGGTCAGTCACAAGAGAGGCCAGCACAGGCTAAGCGGGCAGGCGGCCCACCCATTGTCCCCGCCCTGCCCCTGGGGGGCTGAGATCATGGGAGGAGTTCAGGGCAAGTAGCCAGCTTGGCCTAGTGGAGGAGCTGGCCTTGGGATATGGCCCTGCGTAGAGAGAGGCACAACCTGCCTCTCCCGTGGGGAAAGAGAATGCCCCCCACTCTCCAGTCTGTTGGGTGCTGTCCAACACCACCCCATTTCCCTCTAACCTCCCCAAAGCAGAGCTCTGGCGGCCCATGCAGGGCCGTACAACCACTGCTGGCCCACATTCTGCTCACCACCCTGCAGCATCCATGTGGCCAGAGTGAGTTATTCATCACTAATGTGCGTCACCCCCCATCTGGGTTGTGTGTGGGACACACACAGAGATGCGCACACGCACCCTCGCATATACACACATTTGCCCACTACCAAGGGCCCAGATAGCATTTCGTGAAAAGAGTGTGAGGATCACATCCTGCAGAGCGGGGCAAGAGTGCCCCCAGTGCCCAGCACAGAGCCAGCAGTCCAGTGGGGTCTGAGGATTCAGGGGCAGATTCTGTGCTCAGAGGCTGAGGAAGGCATCTTGGGTAATATTGCTGTCTGGGCAAAGGGGGCTTGGCCTCCCTTCCGTTGCCCTCTGAAGGGGGTGTGAGGGGGGAGTTGACTCTGAGGTGGCAGGGCCTCTGAAATGGACCACTGCCCTGGTCCTGGGAGCAGGGGACCCAGAAAGTCAGGTTGGGTAGTGGGAAGAGCCAGTGTTTCCCTGGACGTGATGTGACTCACTGTGTGACCACACACGAGTTCCTGCTACTCTCTGGTCCCCTCGAAAAGAGGAAGAGGGGGTGGGGTTCCACCATCGTTGGGATACCCGAGGCCCTTCCAGCTCTAATGTTCTGAGTGTGATTGTCCTGAGGGGTCTGCCTGCCCTCAGCCCCCCACCTCAGCTGACCCCACGGTCTTCCTGAAATTGCTACATTTTGGCTCCCCGCCCCTCAGCCCAGTTTCTCTGGCCTAGATGGTTTCTCAGAGTCTGTGTCAGTGTCACAGACACCTACTGGTGCTGCTCTGTGCTGGACCCGGGACCCAGAGAGTGATATGTGTTGATTGACTGAGTTAATCCTGCCTTCACGAAGCTTGCACTCAGGAGCAGCGTCTGTCTCCAGGGGTTGGAGCTGGTGAGACATAGATTCCTGGGCCCCCCATCCTGATTCCTTGCAATTTCACCAGCTCCCACCCGCCCAGGCCCAGGCTGCTTCTCATGTGTTTTCTGAGAAGCACAGGTCTAGTGGGATCTGGGGTGGGCTCAGATGCCTCTTCCCCTCCCTGCTGGGGTGTGGTAAGTACTCTGGGGAGGTGCAGCTCAGGGCAGGTCCCCCGAGATTTCAGCCAGGAGTGGGCATGGGGTGGAGAAGCAGTTCTGGCCTTCTTGCATGTGAAGGGAACTACATATGCAAAGGCTCGAGGGTGGGAAATATCTGGAACTGTGTTTGGGATCAGGGAGCCATCCAGAGTGACCGAAGTGCATGGTATGGATATGGAAGTCTGGCTGGAAAGGCACGTGTGGCAGAGCTCAGGGCCAAAGGCCTGCTGAAGGCTTTGAACTAAGCTGTGGTTTCCACCGGTAAGGGCTGTGGCCGTAGCAGGGAAGGGTGGCTGGAGGTGAGGAGGCAAGGATTGAGGGTGGAAGGGGCATGGCAGATGTTCCTGGGAGGAGCAAGGGCCCTCCAAGAGGCTGACAACTTGGCTTGGGGAGATGTGATGTCTAGAGCATTGTCTGGGAACCAGGGTCTCGAAGTTCTGCCTCAGTTTCTCATCTCATCTGTGGAATGGAGAGAGGCAGACCCTGCTTCTCTGAGGGCCTTTTGTTCCCAGTGGTGAGTCAGGGCAGCCAGACAGGTGGTGAGACAGCTGTGCTAGGAAGCAGCTGCCAGGGCTGGGGCCCGGGCAACAGTTGGACCAGGAGCTCCCAGCCCCACAGCCCACCTGTGTCCCTTTCAGAAGGGAGGGCTCCTGGGAAGTGGGGGGATTGGGGGACCATTTGGTCCTTGGAATGACTTGTGCTGATCTCATGGGGGCTGGGCCAGCCTGCCTTCCTCCCTCTCTCCCTTCCTCCCTCCTCCTTGTCTCCCTTCTTCTCTCCTCCCTCTCTCCTTTCTTCCCTCCTCTCTCCCTCCCTCCTTCATTTCCTCTTTACCCCTTCACTTCTCTCCTTTCTCTTGTCTTCTTCCTCCTCTCCCTGTTTCTCTCTCTGCCTTTCTCTCCCTTCCCCTTCTCCATGTTCCTCGTGCTCCTCCCTCTGTCCTCCTAGCCCCCCGCCTCTTGCCTTGGCAGTAGGGAAAAGGGAGCTTGGGGAAGGGGCTGAGCCCTCCTGAGCCTCTGGGATGAAGCCCTTCTTCCTTGGCCCAGTGGGTCCTCATGAGCAGACATCTCTGTCTTCCCTTCTGTGAAATGGATGCTGTGCCACTGCCACCTGGGGAGAAAAAGCTAGGGAGGTGCAGGAAGGCTCCTGGGTCAGCTTTATGGCACAGCTAAGGCAGAAGGAAAGGCCAGCAGTCCCAGGAGGCCAGTGCCTCAGCTCCGGCGGAGGCGGCCTAGGGGCTGGAAGGCCAGGAGAGCATGGCCACCCAGGGGCCAGAGTCTGGGCGAGAGCTACCATGGTGACCTCATCCCCATTTCAGGGAGGCGGAGATTGAGGCTGAAGGCGTGTCCTGGGGTCCTTTGTGTTCAGGAGAATGCGGCTGGGGTGGGCCAGTCGGGTGCCAGTTGCCGGGTTTCCATGGTTACTGGGGGATGCCCAGAGCAGAGCAGCACCAGGTTCTCTCCTCCCCCTCCCTCGTCATGGGAGGAGGGGCCATGGGCACTGAGACACGCGCCAGGTAGGTTCCTGGTGACGGCCAATGGGGAATGAGAAGTGTGGTAGCCAGGGAACGGTAACCAAGGAACCGTCGCCTTGGAATTTCCATCGCACACCCGCTGGCTGGGTTGTAGGCTGCCAGGGCCAGGGCCTTTAGGATACGACACTGGCTCACTTCAGACTGGGCAGCGATTTTCACCCCATTGCCCTCCCCACCTGACCCAGGCCTCCTTCCACCAGGTCCCAGGCTGCCCCCACTGGGCTCCAGCCACAAATGGTGCCTAGCACTGTTGTCATGACAACCTGGAGAGTACTGGGCTGGAACTCCCCTCCTGTCCTGCCCTCTCTGTGTCCCTCCCCACCCAAAATTGGCGGCCTGGGCCCTGACGTTCTCCCAGCCACCCCTCCCTCTCCCCAGGGCTCTGTACACATACGAGGATGGCTCAGATGACCTCAAGCTTGCAGCGTCAGGAGGTAAGAATTCCAGCCATTCCTTTGCCTTCCTCTCCGCCCCCTCCTCTGGTTGTTTTCTTCCCCACCCACCCGCCTGGCTCCAGGCCACCTCCCTGCCTGCATCCAGCAGACCCACACTTGTCTGGCGTCAGGCGAGTGTCCTTCCTCTGGTCATCCCTGTGATCCCCAGGGTAGGGAGGGAGAGAGGCTTGTTTCCTGCTTGATTATGAGAAGACTGCACCTCGGAGAAGGACAGTGACTTGCCCAAAGTCACACAGCTGGCGGGGAAGGATTCTGGCAGGGATGGCCCAGATCACCCCCACTTCCTCCAGAGCCCAAAGGCTTTATTCTCACTCACTGGGCGCTAGCACCGCATGAGACATGATGATGTGTGAAGAGTGAGACATGAGGGTGTGTGAGGAACAAACACTTCCTCGGCCCAACCCCAGATCAGGCCCTGTGGCATTCAGAGGCACAGCTCGCGCCCGCCTGCCGCCCCTCTCACCCCAGCACAGAACTCTGGGACCTCCCGATTTCTGGCTGCCTGCAGAGCCCGCGAGAGCAGTCTTTCCTTTGGGTTCTAGGCCCTTTGTGGGGTCAGGGCTCAGGAGACGGGAGTCCTGATACCCTCCTGATTCCCCCAGAGGGGGGCTTGCAGGAGCTCTCGGGCCACTTCGAGAACCAGAAGGTGATGTACGGCTTCTGCAGTGTCAAGGACTCCCAGGCTGCTCTGCCAAAATACGTGCTCATCAACTGGGTATGCAGCTGGGGGCTGGGGGAGGGAGCTGAAGACCCCCGAACAGTTACCCTCCACCCCGCTTCACCCACTGATGCTGCTGGAGAGAACCCACCGACCCCAGGAAGGGGGCCCAGGCCCCAGGCTGCTGACCCCTCTTGTCTTTTCCTGACCCCTTCTTCCCTGGGTGCTTTGCAGGTTGGTGAAGACGTGCCTGATGCCCGAAAATGTGCTTGTGCCAGCCACGTGGCTAAGGTGGCTGAGTTCTTCCAGGTGCGAGGGGGGCCAGGGCTCGTGGGTTGGGCCAGCCACCCAGGGCAGGGTCTGTGTGCTGGGAGTGGTGACAGGAAGGAGCGTGCTGCCTGAACACACGTTTTTCTTGCTGCAGGGTGTGGACGTGATCGTGAATGCCAGCAGCGTGGAAGACATAGACGCGGGCGCCATCGGGCAGCGGCTCTCCAATGGGCTGGCACGGCTCTCTAGCCCAGTGCTGCACCGGCTGCGGCTGCGCGAGGATGAGAACGCTGAGCCGGTGGTCAGTGTGTTCCCCGGGCAGGCTGGCCCGTCCCTCCCAGGCCTCACCCTTTGCATGTGGGAGCTCCTGGAGCACTCGGCTTGCCCCCTGCGCTCATGCCGGGCCGCTTGTCTCTGCAGGGCACCACCTATCAGAAGACTGATGCAGCTGTAGAAATGAAGCGGATTAACCGTGAGCAATTCTGGGAGCAGGCCAAGGTGTGCCCCCACCCCCGCCCCCCTTGGCTGCTCTCCCTTTTACAGTGTGTCCCTTCCCACATCCTCCCCCAGCTGAGAGAGTGAGCCCTTTTGGCTTTCAGCCCACAGGGTACCCTGAATTCCCAGCACCCATGTCTCCCCAGCCCTGGGTTGGGTTGGGCTGGAGGGGCAGGGCCCAGGCTCAGGGCCGACAGTGCCTGGCGCGGGGGGGTTGCAGAAGGAGGAGGAGCTGCGGAAGGAGGAGGAGCGGAAGAAGGCCCTGGATGAGAGGCTCAGGTTTGAGCAGGAGCGCATGGAGCAGGAGCGCATGGAGCAGGAGGAGCGGGAGCGGCGCTACCGAGAGCGGGAACAGCAGATTGAGGAGCACAGGTGCGCCCCGCCCCGCCCCACACCGCCCCCCCTGGCTGGTGTGCGTGGGCCGCCCTGAAAGGGTGCCTGCTGGCTTCTCGTTCCAGGAGGAAACAGCAGACTTTAGAAGCTGAGGAGGCCAAGAGGCGGTTGAAGGAGCAGTCTATCTTTGTAAGTCGTTAGTCAGGGCTCCGGTCTCCTGGTCCAGGAGGTGAGGATAGTGGCTGTGCTCCTGGGCCTGGTAGAGCGATCAGTGGCTTGGGGACAGTGCTGGGCATTCTGGGCACTGCTGCAAGGGCATGGGGTGTCATGGAGTGTCAGGGCTGGCACCTGATCACCTGAGGCTCTGGCCTCCAGCCGTGGAAAGAGACTTCCTTGAAGAAGCTTGTACAATAAACTGAAAAAGAAAATCTACCTTGACCGAGACCCCCACTGACCAGGCTTCCTGCCTCGTCCCAGCAGGGCCTGAAGGGCTTGGGCTGGATTAGACACACCCCTTGGCTCCCTGCCCTTAGGGGGCTTGAGGAGTGCTGCAGAGCCCTGGGCATGAGTCTGAGTGTCTGAACACGAGTGTGCATAGGGTCTCCTTCAGAGTCGCCCCTTGTTCCAGGGGTGCTTTCTGAACCTCCAAACATTGGGGTGGCCCATGGGGCTTGTGGATTGACCCTTTGAAAATCACAGTGGAGTCAAATCTCCATGCTTTGAGTTGAATTTTCTATTTCAGAAATAGCTAAGGTCATTCAGGGCCAAGCATGGTACAGTTCAGGACAGGAGGTAGGCACCTGGATCGTAACTGTCATGGCAGAAGTTGGGCCATGGGGACTCAAATGTGCTCCACAGGAGGCTGGGAGGGAGGAGATGGGACAGCCCAGCAGGCCCTGGCATTAAATTATGGCTGTCATAGGTCACTCCAATCACATCAGCCCCTGGTAGGTGGAGGTGATGTGTGGTTGGTAAGCTCCAGCCTCAATCATTCATTCAGCAAACCCTTGCCACCTGCCATGTGCCAGATGTTAGAAACATGGTGGAGAACAAGATGGGCAAGGCCTTTTTTATTTTTTAACTTTTATTATTTTTGTTTTTTTGGTGAGGAAAATTGGCCCTGAGCTATCGTCTGTGCCCATCTTCCTCTATTTTGTATGTGGGACTCTGCCACAGCATGGCTTGATGAGTGGTGTGTGGGTCTGCACCTGGGATCCAAACCAGAGAACTCTTGGCCACTGAAGCAGAGTGTGTGAAATTAACCGCTCCGCCACCAGGCCTGCCCCAAGGCCTTTTTAAAATTAACTGATGAATGAGTTTATTTTTAATTGTGGCAAAATTTACATAACATAAAATATACTATCTTAACCGTTTTTAAGTGTGCAATTTAGTGGCATGAACTGCATTTGCATTGTTGGAGAACCATCACCACTCTTTATCTCCAGAACTTTTCTCATCTTCACATGCTAAAACTATGTACCCATTAAACACAAACTCCCCATCCTCCCTCCCCCAGCCCTTGGCAGCCTCCATTCTACTTCCTGTCTCTATGAATTTGACTCTGCTAAGTACCTCATGTGAGTGGACTCATACAGTATTTTCTTTTGTGACTAGCATAGTGTCTTCAAGGTTCATCCATGTGTCAGAATGTCCTCCCCCTTTTTTTTTTTCGCTGAGGAAGATGTGCCCTGAGCTAACATCTGTTACCAAGCTTCCTCTTTTTGTATGAGAGTCATCACCACAGCATGGCCACTGGCAGATGAGCAGTATAGGTCTGTGCCTGGCACCTGAACCTGGGCTGCTGAAGTGGAACGCGCCAAACTTCACCAGTAGCCCACCGGGGCTGGCCCTGTCCTTCCTTTTCAAGGCTAATAATATTCCATTGTATGTATATACCACATTTGGTTTATCCATTCAGAGTAAGGTCTTCTTGAAAAAGCTTATTTCTGTGGAAAATTTTACACACAGGCACAAAAAAGTAGAAACAATTGTATAGTGAACCCCCTAAACTGATGGCTCATCTTCACCAATTATCAACATTTCAGGCGAAGCCTTACACCATTATTTTATAGTCTTGTCTGGCCCTCTAAGTGTGGCTCATGTGACAGGGACAGTAGGTATTTTACAGGTCAGTGTAGTGGCCCTACAACTTCAGATCCTCTAAGGAAGGTCCCATGTGAGGAACTTTGGAATTTAGAACCATGATGCTTTCTCTTGGCTTAAGGAGTTGTTCTGTTTTCTCTCCTCTGATAAGAATTGCATTCCTTGTCTGAGTTCCCCTTTTGCCTGGGCTGTCAGGGAGCTCCCATGTATCTAAAGATGCTCAGGCACAGAAATGCTGTTGACCCTTATGGGTAGTGTATTGCTCTCTCTCTTATACCCCCAGCGCTAATTTGTTTCAGTGTTTTTCACATGGGTAGTTAAGGCTTGTCTCACCCTCTTTTTGAATGAGGCAGAGGGACCTAGCGAGGTTATACTAGGCAGAAACAGAGTACCAGCCAAGGCTAGTGAGACATATGTTTATGGGAAGGCAGGGAGCCTGCCTGGAGCCCAGTGGGCTGCGGAGCAGGGGAAATTTGGGAAGAGAGAACACGGTCAGAGGAGGAGTTTAGACCACTCTGGAAGATGCGAAGTTGTGGTCAGGGTGACCGCCCTCTTGAGGGGAGACGCTTTGCAGAGCCGTTCTTGTGTACCATGACGGGAAGGTTTGAGTCTTCGGTTATGTCCTCGGAAACAAGCAGATCCTGTTACTTCCCCTCCCTCCATGCAGCTTCTCCTCCATCGCCGTCCTGCCCCCCGGCTGCAGGAGCAGAGTAACAGGCTTTGGTGCGGTGGGTTCAGCTGAGCAGACGTGTACCCACTGAACCTTGGCTGGCCACTCACCCAGACCCCACTTCTCTCCCTGTCACCCGTGGAGGTGGGGATGATCCCAGAAGCAGGAAGTGACAATGGTGTAATCTGCAGTGTATGCCTTGAATACCTCCTGGGGGCCCACAGAAGGAAGTGACCTGAGGGGTCAGGGACCTCTTCCCCAGGAGGCGGTGCCCCAGCTGAGGCCGGAAGCAAGAAGAGTTGGACCTGGGGTGGGTTGGGGCATTTGGGGGGAGAGAGATTCAGCTCCCGCACCGAGGCACGGAGGTGGGAAGCGGTATGCATGTTCCAGGAACTGTGACTCCATCATGCTGAGGACTTCATGTCTGCATCTCCCAGGGTGTGTGGGTGAGTCAGCGTGGGAGGGGGATGTTGGAGAGGTGACAGGGGCTAGGTCAGGCAGGGGGAGGGGAATGTAGGCCAAGCAAGGGGCCCCGCCCACCTGTACTCCTGAGGTTGCAATCTCAAAACAGCTAGTGAAGTGGGCAGGTGAAGTGCAGTAGGGAGTGGTGAGGACTGCAGCCAACTAGACAGCCCATGCCTGGTGTGAGGGCTGCACCGGTGCAGCTCTGGCTTGTGGCTGCTCTGGGGCATGTGGGCCTGCGTTACCAGGGCTTTCTGGCATTCTGATTTCAGTATGAAACTTTCTGATATTTAAGTGGAGGCAACTAATTAATGTGTTTTAAAAACATATCAACAAAACAAAAGCCATCTGTGGGCCATATTCAGCCAGTACTCACTGTGGCTCATGGGACGCCTCTGAGGGATGTTAAGCTAGAAAGAATCATGGTCTGATGTGGATTTTTGAAAGGTCCATTTAAGGTCTATAGAGAACAAATTACAGGAAGAGAGCAAGGAGGCAGGAGCCTAATGAGGAAGCCTTGGTGGTGATGCCAAGATCCAGGAAGCAGGGATGGGGGGTGTGGTTGGCCAGGTGCTGAGCTGGGAGGTCCGAGAAGAGTTAGCTGCAAAGCAGGGAGTGCTCTGGATGGCCGTGGGTGCCTGGTGGTATGTGGGAGTGAAGGAGCAGGAGGAGCGGAGCTGGGTGCCTAGGGGCCTGTCCCGCTGGAGATGAGGTGGCCGAGGGCCTTGTGGATGGAGCCAAGGAGCTGTGTGACTGGGTGGTGAAGGGGACAGAGGTGCCACCTCAGCTCCTTCCTGCCTGATTGTGGAAGAAACACAGGGACTCTAAGAAGGGCTACCGGGGTGGTGGGGGGAGTTGCCCAGAACACTGTCCCTTTGGTTTCCAGGGTGACCAGCAGGATGAGGAGGAAGAGACCCAGATGAAGAAGTCAGAATCAGAGGTAGAGGTGAGAGCCGGGGTGAAGGGCAGGTGAGGCTGGTGGGGCTACCTCAGCTGGGCCTGGCCCTGCTCCAACCCTTTCCTTGTGCCCCCAGGAGGCAGCGGCCATTATTGCCCAGCGGCCTGACAACCCACGGGAATTCTTCAAGCAGCAGGAACGAGTCGCATCGGCCTCCGCGGGCAGTTGCGATGTGCCCTCACCCTTCAACCACCGGCCAGGTAGTCCCAGGTCCCACCCCCACTGACCCCCCCCCCCCCCCCCCCCCTCAGGTTTGGCCCTTAGCCTCTCTGGCACTCTTTCTTGGAAAGGAAGCCTTGCTAAGGACTCCTTGGAGAAGGCAAGGCCATTTCTCAAGTGTGCTTCCACCCCCTGCCTCCCGGGTGGCAGGACTGAGAAGGCTCAGGCAGGGGTCGATGCTGGGCGTTGGCTGAGTGCAGAGCCCATCTGGGTGGCTCTGGCATGGGCTAAGACACCCCCTGGCTGCAGGGAGTGGCCCTGTTGGGGTTGAACTGGGGGTTGCCTGAAGGGCTGTGGGTGCATGTGGGTGGGCTCTTGCCCTGGCCCTGGGTTCCAGCAGCCTGGAGCCTGTACCCAGGGTCCCCTGGTCTCCTGATGCGATGCAGCTGCCCCTTTCCCCCAAAGAACCCTCTGACTCCCTGTCTGCTGTTGGAGTGTTTGCCCCTGCTGTGTGCTTGGCCCTGTGCCAGGGTCCCAGGGGTGGGGCCGGCTGTCCCTGGGTGTGTGCTGCTCAGTTGGCTGTGCAGGGCAGGTGCCTTGCTGTGTGTGGCTGGTGCTGGTGTGCGTCATCTGATGGCTTGAGGCTGTGGCCCAGCTTCGCTGAATGTGCACCCTGGCTGAAGGCAGCTTGGACTTCCAGGGCCAGCCCTGGGGGCGGGTGAGGCCTCGGGGCTGGGGTGGGGGAGACTGACCCTCTCTTGTCCTCTGTCTCTCTGTCTGTCTCTCTTGGCAGGTCGTCCGTACTGCCCTTTCATAAAGGCATCGGACAGTGGGCCTTCCTCCTCCTCCTCCTCCTCCTCCTCCCCTCCACGGACTCCCTTTCCCTATATCACCTGTCACCGCACCCCAAATCTCTCTTCCTCCCTCCCATGTAGGTAGCAGCCCCAGGCCTCGGCGGGGCGGGTAAGGAGGGCCCCGCTTCCCAGCAGCCCCCCGCCCTCACTCCCTCAGCCTGACTGCTGATCTCTAGTGTTTGTCCCTAGAGCAGGTACTGCCTGCCTCTTTCCCCTGGCCCTGAAGGGGCGCTGGCCCCCAGGGGCCTGGCTTACAGGGTCTGGAGCTGTGGTCTGGCCCCTGGGGGGCCTGGGGAGCTCCCAGCCCCCCGCAGACTCCAGAGAGGAGGTGCTGGCCAGGCCCCAAGGTGGACAGTCCTGGCCCCACCCAGCTCCCCAGCCCTCACTGACCAGCCTGGGGGTTTGTTCCATAGGCAGTCACCTGGACAGCCACCGGAGGATGGCACCCACCCCCATCCCCACCCGGAGCCCATCTGACTCCAGCACGGCCTCTACCCCTGTCACTGAGCAGATCGAGCGGGCCCTGGATGAAGTCACGTCCTCACAGCCTCCACCGCTGCCACCACCACCACCAGCCCAAGGTGAATGAGGGGCCCTAGCTGTACCGGGTCTCTCACCAGTCACTGGGATGGGAACCCCAGGTGGCCATGGTAACAAGTCCCCAGGGATCTGGCTGCCCATCGCCAGATCGTACTGCCCTGGAAGTAGCTTTGGCAGGGAGGAGCCCTGGCAGTGCAGCCACACCTGCCCTCTCTGAGCCTGTGTCCCTCCCTGGAGTGGGATCAGGCCTTCCTCCCAGGGCTGCTGAGCAGTTTGAAGACACTAGGCAAAGGGGCAGCGGGGCCCAGTGGGTGCTGGGAGGTGCTCTGCATGGAGCCCTTAGTGGAGGCCTTCTTTCCTGGAACTCGCTGACTCCTCAGTGGGTGGGCAGGGTATTGCAGGGTGGCTGCCAAGCGCCCGCATTCTTCCCTGAGGGAGCTGATGTCATCTGTCTCCTCCATTTGTGCTGTGACAGAGACCCAGGTGAGCAGCCCTGGGCTGGATGGTGAAGAAAGCAGCAAGGAGGCCAGAGCAGCTGGCCCCACGGAGGAGCCTCCTCAGGCACCACAGCCTTCCCAGGGGCAAGGCAGCCCCACGGAGGACTTGATGTTCATGGTGCCTCCAGAGCAGGCTGTCCTGGCTGCCGCTCTGGAGCCTACCATGGCTGATACTGCCGCAGCTGACACCTCGGCAGCTGACGCCATTGACACCAACACTGCCGCCGCTGACACCGCTGTTGCCAACACCATCACCCCTGCCGCTGCCAGCCTCATTGACCTATGGCCTGGCAATGGTGAAGGGGGCTCTGTACCCCAGGCTGAGCCTAGGGCCCCCACACCACCCTTGGGTGCCGAGGTCACTCTGGCAGAGGTGCCCCTGCTAGACAAGGTGGCTCAGGAGCCACTGCCGCCAGCAAGTGAAGGCTGTGCCAACCTTCTCAACTTTGACGAGCTGCCTGAGCCACCTGCCACCTTCTGTGACCCAGAGGAGGAAGTAGAAAGGGAGCCCCTGGCTGCACCCCAGGCCCTAGCTCTGCCCTCTGCTCTAGAGGAGCTGGATCAGGAGCCGGAGCCGGAGCTGGAGCCTGAGCCAGAGCCGGAGCCGGAGCCCGAGTCCCACCTGCTGACCAATGGCGAGACCACCCAGAAGGAGGGGACCCAGGTTGGGCAGGGGCAGCCTGGTGGGAGGGGTGGTCAGGGCTTGAGCAGGGGACGGTCGGACTGCGTTCCTCAGGCTTGCAGCATTACCTCCCTTTCTCTGTGACCCACGTTATTGGGGGGAAGCTCCATTCCATTTCCCTTCCCTGGGCCAGCTCTGCTTTTGTTCCCAAGGCCAGCATCTGTTTCCCCGGCAACCACTGATAGAATCACTGGTTGCCGGGGAAACAGGCTCAAGCCTGGTAGGTCAGCCCTAGTCCTGCTGGGTGGGGCTCAGTGACTTGGCGCTTTCCTGTTGCAGGCCAGTGAGGGGTACTTCAGCCAATCACAGGAGGAGGAGTTTACCCAATCGGAAGAGCTGTGTGCAAAGGCTCCGCCTCCTGTGTTCTACAACAAACCTCCAGGTAGTACTGGCGTGGATGAGGAGGAATTCAGCCGGGGGCGCTCGGTTCAAGTGTGGGCAGGCAGCCCCTCTCCCCCACATGGCTGGCACAGCTCCAGGGGTTGGGAGACAGCCATGGATCTGCTGGGCCATCTCCTTAACTACCCTCCCTTCCCAACATCATAGAAATCGACATCACCTGCTGGGATGCGGACCCAGTACCGGAAGAAGAGGAGGGCTTCGAGGGTGGCGATTAGCGATAGCAACCGCCCTCAGGCTGCCCTCGCCAAGGCCGCCCACCTGAGCCGGCCTCTGGCCAGACGGCCCGCCGCGCCTGTACACGCAGCAGCTCCGCCTGGCACCCACTCTGGATTCCGGCCCTGGCCGGGGACTTGGCCGCTTCCCTACCCACAGGGCCCGACTTTTACAGCTTTTCTCTTTTTTTTAAAGTTGATAGGAAACTTGTACAGTTGACTGGTTTTCCTCCCGTTGGTAGTTGAGACGCTGTTGCAAATTCCACCCCCTCCCTGCCCGGTCCAGATTGTAGCTCTTAGTCCTCCCTGCTCACTCAGCTGGCCGGGTTGGAGGCCTCACCCTGCTTGGGGCCTGGCGTGGGGGGAGCTCTGGAAGGAAAATGCACCCCCACCTCTTTTCCTAGTTTTATGTTTCTTGGAAAAATATCACTTTGTATTCTCTGTCCAGGGCTTCAGATATTTTGCACGAATTTTAAAACATGGCAATAAATGGCTCGTGGGCTCTGGCTCCCTGGGACCCCCGCCCTGCCCTTCTCTTGATCCCTTCCCGCCTGGCCCAAAGGAAGTAGCCTCAGGGGCCCCTCAGCTTCCCTGCCCTTTCCTGCCCCCTCCTGCTGGGCAGGTCCCAGGCTGGAGGCCCTAGGCGGCGATTCAGGTCAGGGTGGGGCCCAGGGCTTCAGTGGCCCTCCCAACTCCTCCCTCTTTGCTTGGGTTCCTTTTTCACGTTCAGTAACTGTTTTTTGGAAAGCACAAACTTCTGTAACGGGTCGTGCTCATGTCTATTAATAAAGAAATCCAGATCCCTTCGGGCCTGCTGCTCCGGGCCTCCAGGGGCTGATCTGGGGTGGGCCGCCTGCCCTGATTCCCATTCCCAACTCTTCCCACCCCCAAGGCGGCAGGGGGTGCCCTCACCGTGATCTCACAGGAGGAGAAGGTGGGTTCTGAGGCTCCCGAGGGAACCAGCCTCTGGTTTGACGCAGGCTGACCTCAGGTTTAGTTCTGCATCTTCAGGCCAGTTTGTAGCAGAAAGGCGCATTCAAGTTCTGTCCCGCCGAGGCCCGGGGCACACCTGGCCACCAGAACCTTGGGCGCAAGCAGCGGGTGCCCCCTCCGCTTGTACCAAACCAGATCACACACCTTTATTATCCTCAAAATGTAACAAACGGGGTAAGAAATCCCTCCCCCCTCCCCCCCTCCGTCCAAGGGAAGCATTTAAAAAGCCCTGCAGTCAGGCCAGGAGTCCGCGGGTGGGGCCCGGGATGCCACGCGCCCCTCTATACGGCTGTAGTCCTCCCGAACAAGGGGATGGAGACCGGCAGGCGCCAAGCTCCGTGTTCCAGCGGCTCGCGGCTGCTGAGCTCCGAGTCGGTCCAGCTGGGGAAGACCCGGCGGCCACGGTCCGCCTGCAGGCAGAGCGCAGGGCAGGGCGGCGCGGGCCGCGGGGCGCTGGGCAGGTGCAGCGCCGACGTATAGCCCCGGTCCAGGAAGAGCGGCTTGTAGCTGGGTGGCGGCTGCTCCTGTTTCTCAGCGCTGTCGCGGCGGCTCAGAAAGGGCGTGACAATCTTGCGGTAGAGGCCGCGCGTGTCCGTGAGCACCTCGCTGTAGGGCGGCGGCGGCTCGGCCATCAGCACCGCCTCTTCGTAGCACGGTGGCTTGGACATGTCCGATTCCGCTGCGGAGTGGAAGCGGTCCGAGGGCGTGAGGTCACCTGTCCCCAGCCTTCCGCAGAGGCCTGGGCCAGCAGCCAACCCCAGACCCAGCCTGCTCCCTCTTCCTAGGTTCTCGGTGAGGCTGTCCAGTGCAAGCCTCACGGGTCGGCAGTAGGCCAGCCCCTGCCAAGGCCCCGCCCACCCCAGTGGCTCGGGTCGCCCCTGACGGAGGTCGGTACTTACCTTGGCGCGGGTAGCTCCAGGGCCGCGGCGGCACGGAGAGGTGCGGTGGCGGCGGGTGCGGAAGCGGGTGGTGATGTGCGTGCGGGTGTGCGTGCGGCTGCGCGGGCCCGTGGTGCAGGAGCGGGTGCACGTGCACGTGCTGATGCGCGTGCGCCGGCGCCTCAAGGCGGCCGCGGTGCGGTGGCGGCGGCGGCGGCGGCGGCGGCGCCGCCAGCCCTGGGGGGCTCCCGGCCAGGCTGCCCTCGAGCTCGAGGGGCTCCAGCTCAAGGGCGCGCAGGTTCTGCTCACGCAGTCGCTCCTCCTGGCGCCGTTTGAGGCGGCGGCGCAGGAAGCTGCAGAAGCAGCAGAGTAGGACGATGAGACCCCAGATGAGCCAGAAACCGGCGAAGCACGTGAGGAACGTGTAGGTGCCCTGGGACATAACCATGGCGGCGGCGCGGGCGGCGGATCCTCGGCTGCTTCACTGGACACTGGGCTCCTCTACGTGGCCCCGGGCCCGCGCCACGCTCCCAGGCGCCGCCAGCGTCACTCGGGGGCCCGCGGCCGGGGGCTGCCCGCGACGGGGCTCAAGTCGTGCGCGCGCCGGCGGAGGGCAGCAGCAGCAGCGCCCGCTCCTTCCCATGGCGCCGGCGGGCGCACGGGCGGGCCTCACCCGGGGCCGCGCGGGACCTGTGGGACAGACATAGGGCGCGGTCAAAGCGCGCTGCAGCCCCCGACGACTTCCCTGCCTGTGCCCTGCGCAGTCCCGGGGAAGTCTCCTCTGCGGAAACCCCCGCACTCCCCGCGGGCCCGGTGACGCTACTGAGAGGGATTACGTCACGCCTCGAGGTTTCCCCGGTAGGGTTTTCCCGGATCTGAGACCGGGCCGCCGCCGCCGCTAAGCCGAGGGGACTCCAGGCTGGCCAGCAGGGGGCGCGCGAGGGCCAGTCTCGGCCTCAGTGCGCACGGGAGATTCGCCACCCGCTTCCCTGGGGCACAGGGTACCCCAGCTCGGAAAGGGTTTCACAGGCCCGTGGCGAGGCCCCCAGGGCGCTGAAGCGGAGTCTCGGCGCGACTGCGCTGCGGCGGGGAGAGGGTGGCCCACCTCCTCGAGTCCCCCAAGCAGCCCAGTGGCGCCCAGCTTCAGCCCTATGCATACGCCCGGCAGCCCCTGGCGCTCTAGGCCTCGTACCCGCTCCCACCCTTGCTGCCCAAAGCATGGAACATCCCGGCCCGCACCGCTGCCCCTCCGTCGTCGCTGCTCTTCCTGGGGAGGCTCGGGGGGGTGGTTCCGGCTGTTACCGCATGCCACCGGCCTGCCTTTGTCTGCGCCGAACGCGCCGCCGGGCGTGTGCCGTTCCCTCTCTTCCTTTCCTCTAGGCGCCTCGGCGCGGCGCGCCGGATCCCAGCTCGGTCTCTGCTGCCCCCGCCTCCTACTCATGCGCAGCCCCACTTGGCCCTGCCCTTCTAGCTCCAGGCCACTGTGTCCCTTCCCCCCAATTCCTTTCCCTCTCTGCAGAAGGGAAGAAAAGTAGCTCGTCTTCAGTGCCACCTGGTCCCTCATCACTCCAGATGGGCACCTCTAGTTCCACCTCCTCCTCTCCACAGCCAGGGTTGAGAGGGGAACCTTGTATCCTAAGAGGCAAGTAGGAGAGAGTCCTGACTGCAGAGTGATGGGTGGCAGGGGACTTGTTACCGCCCCCGCAGAACAGAAATGATCCTTCTTGAATGCCTTATACTCCGGGGCTTTCACATAAACCCTCTGGGGTAACTGAAATGATTCCTATTTTACAGATAAGGAAGGGGGAAGCAGTTAACTGCGCAGATGGTAGGTGGCAGTGCGGTAATTTGAACCCAAGTGTGACCACAAACCCCAGCCTCCGGTGGGAGAGTGTTGCTGTTTGAGCTATTTTGCGGGCCCCCTCCAGGAGACCCATGGGCCCCCCATCCTCAGCATGCCCGAAGCTCACACACAGTCAGCTCTGGGTGCCACGTGGGCCTGAGCCCCAAGCTGGGGCTCCACATCAAGCCTCTTTCAGACTGGTCTGGCAGCAAGATGGGGGGAAGCCAGGCCACAGGCCGCTCCACACTTCTCCCCAGATGGCTCCTGTCTGACTCCATGGCTGCCTTGTGCCATGTGTCACCTGGTGCCCGTGCCAGCCCCTCTTCCCTGGGCCTGCGTTCCAGAACAGACAATGGCAGAAACAATAACTCCAGCCGCCCCCTCGACAACCCTGCCATGAGGCTGCCATGGCGACGCAGCCCAGATAAAAACACGATGCTGCCAGTCACTGGGAGTTAATTAAATCTGTTGTTCTCCTTTTCGCGAGCCCACAGGAATTCTCAGGAATGCTCTGAGGGAGCTGGCACTAACTAGGAGGCCTCTTGGCCTGCAGGGCAGGAACAGCTCTGGGTCAGAAAAGGTACTTCTGGGGCTGAAGATGATGGAGTTTAGCTGAATTAGAAATAGAAATACCTGCCAAGGACCGTCTACTGCATGTCAGGCCTTGTTCTAGGCCCTGTCTGTGCAGAATCTTACGTGATCTTCAACACCACTTTCTCACTGGGGGTCATGCCCATTTGATAGATGAGACAGGCTCAGAGAGGGAAATGACTTGCCCCTGGTCACACAGCTAATAAGGAGAGGAGCTAAGATTTAGCCTGATTCTGAAGCCAAAGTCTGTGTTAAAACACTTTGCCCTGAGTGACAAGTGAGATGTACATGAAAAGTCCAGTGCATGTGAGCACTCGGTACATGAGGACTTGGGAGCTGTGTGGACACTGGGCAGAGTGGCCAGCTTGTAGCCATAACGTGCCTTCCTGTTCCTTCCCACCAAGGGCCTCGTGCCACCAGCCCTTAGCTCAGAGTGGGAAAAGGCTACAGGGTAGAGGAGAGATAGGATGGCAGCTCCAGGGTTATCAAGGCACAGAGAACATGGACCAAGCCCTAAGGAGCCCAGCTCTGCTGGCTGGGTGCTAGGGTGGACTGGGGCAGGCCACACCCAAGACCCACTGGGTGCTACTGTCCCCCTCCGCCGGAGGCAAGAAACACCACTGCGTTTTACAGACCATCATGGGTCTGAGAGAGGAAGGCTCTTGCCCAAGGACTCACACCTGAGCTGGCCCTCTGACCACCCCCGCGCCCCCCCACCGCCCCCACACCGGCTCTAGCACCAGTCTGAGTTGGGGCGAGGGGGTAGGGCTGCTGCTTCATGCAGTGGGGCCCCAGCAGGCCCAGAGGGCAGGAATCCCGCCTGAGGCCTCCTCCTGCCCTGTGACCGGCCCACAGGAGTCCTCAGTAGCTTCTCGTCTAATCCACAGTAGGGTCTCAATACGGAAACCGCAAGCGATTCATTCAGACCTTTCCAAATCCTCTTCCTGACCAGGCCAATCTTCTCAAAACCTCAAAGAGCTGCCTTTTTACCTTTCCACACCTCTGTGCATGCGCCTACCCATGTCTGGGGGCCCTTCAGACGCAGACCCTGCCTGTGGCCTCTTGCTCACAGCCACTCACCTTCCCCATTCCCCCAGACTGTTCACGGCAACACCTGCTGCTCAGCAGACTCCGCCTGTCTGCCGGGGGCGGTGCCTTCAGGGGGACTCAGCCTTAAGTCTGCCATTTTATGACTTTTCTGGGTTTCTTTCTCTTTTCTTACCTTCTTATGGACTTTTTAGGATTCCACTTTGTTTATTTGTAGAGTTTGTGAGCATATCCCTTTGTATGGTTTTCTTCAGCCACACACTCACTGGGGGCACACAGGGGGATGACAGTGAGACCCTGGGGGCGAGTTTCTTCACCTCCATGTTGCTTTAGTTTCCCCTTCAGTTACTGTGGTGAAGGTCACTGCTAATCCAGGCAAAGGGCTTGGAGATGCCCCACCAAACATCAGCACTGACGACAGTGGCTTTGGAGCTGGGGATGCACCAATGAGTGTCTGTCTCCAGGGTGCTCCCTGCCCGAGGGCTGGACACCACACAGTTCTTGCAATCATCCTACGAACTAGGTGAGCATTCTTCCCCTTGACAGATGAGAACACTTGGCTCAAAGACATTAAATGACAGCCAGGGTCACATAGATCTCTTATTCTAGAACCTGGTGTACTGCGACGCGCACCCACTGCATTGCTCCTCTGCATGAAGAACTCAGCACCCCAACCTTAAACCCCAAAGATCTCCTGCTGGGTCCTGTATTTCAGCAAAGGGCCCACCATTCACTCCATCCACAATCCTGTTGTCTTTACCTTCAGGGCAGTGTGCCTTCATCTGTCCACTTCTTTTCGTCCCCGTGCCACACTGCCTTGGCTGGGCCCCTGTCAGCATGCTTGCCAGTGTGCTCTCTCCTGTGCTGTGCTCCTGCTCATCTGTCCATGCTCCGCAGTGCCCATTTCCCCCAGGCCCTCTCCTGCCTGAACCCTGCAGTGACTCCCCACCACTTCAGGAGACAGCCAGCTCTTGGACATGGTTTAGATGGGTGCCCCTCAACCTGGAGTGAGCACCAGAACCACGTGGAGGGCTTGTTAAAATGCAGGGTGCTGGGCACTGCTCCCAGCGTTTGCTTCAGTAGGTGTAGGGTGGGGCCTGAGAGTTTGCATTTCTAACAAATTTCCAGCAGGTGCTGGTGTTGCTGGTCCAGGGAGCATACCTTGAGAACCACTGACCCAGACCATGGCTTCCGGGAGGAGCTGCCACGGCCTTTCAGCTTCACCTTTCAGCACCCCATCCTCTGCAGCAAGCCTGCGTCCATCTGCACTGCTGAGAGTTCTGCTTTCTCCCCTCCCCAGGCCTGCGACACCCCTTGCTGCTCTCACCCCAGTGCTCACAACTCCGCCTCATGGCCTCACCTGTCACTTCTCTGGACAAGTCAGCCCTGGGCCACCCCACCCCCCAGGGCTGGATGAGAAGCCCAGTGATCTCACTCACACGGTTCTGTAGTGGCCTTCATGCAACACCAGAAGCTGCATCTGTCTTGATCATCTGGCACACAGTAGGTCAAAAACCACTTGCTGAAGGAGTAACTGGAGGTGTCCAGTTACCTGTTTGGTCCTTCAGCCGTGGGACAGGGAATACCTCAAGAGCTGAGTCTGCGTCCAATTCATTCCTCAGAAATGTTGGCCATTCACCAAAATGTCACAGACAGCACCTACCACCTAGCTCTTGGTCCTTGCGAGATAGTCTGTAAGCGAGCTGAGGACCCATACGTTCTATGTGAATAAAAGGAAAAGACTACACGGGCACATTCCAGGGGCTCTGGAGTGGACAGAGGGAAGCCCAGGCAGCAGGGACTCGGGGTCACAAGGTGAAGCCCTGGATGTGAGGCCAGAGCTGATGGTCAAGTGAAAGGACAGGAAGTCAGACCAGGGGACAGAGGAGGAAGGGAGGAGAGTGTGATGTGTGGAGTGAGGGTGGGGTGGAAGAAGAAGGTGACTGCGAACCCCTCCTGCGTGCCCTGCATGTGCCAGGCCCACTGCTGGCCTCTTTACACTTGTCATCTCAGGGACACCCAGGAGGTGGTGCTGCCATCCCCACTCTACAGACAGGGAGCTGGGACCAGCGCAGGCCCACCAAGCCAGGTGGTTGTGAAGCCCAGGTGACTGCAAAGCTTGCTGTCCTGGGAGGAAGGGCATACAGGGAGGCACTGGTGACATTTTTACACTCCTCCCACACCAAGACAGATAATCTGAGGCCAGAGATGACAGGAATTGTCCCAGCTGCCACAGTCAGCAGGGTGTGGAGCTGGCCAGAGCCTCATTTCCAGCTAGGATGAGGTATGGGCCTGGCATCCTTGCCTGCACTCAGCATCTCTGTGACCTAACCCTGGCAGTGGGCCAGGAACTCAGGGCTTAGAAACTGCAAACAGGATATCAGAGACTGGGGCCCCAGGACCTGTGGGCAGAGAGGCCTTACTCGGGTCAGTGTCTACTGTACTCAGATCTGTCCCTCCAAGGGAGCTGGCCATCCCTCAGGGGCGGGGGACGGAGGCTGGGGAATGATGATACCCTCTTCTGAGGGGCAGCCCGGTGTAACGTGCAGAGCACTGAAGCAGGGGCCCTGGGTTCAAATCCTGCTTCTGCCCTGATGGGGAGTGACCTCATCCCATCCAGTCCTGTGCCTGAGCTGAAGTGTCTTCACACAGGGATGATGAGTGTGCCTGGCAGCGACAAGAGCAGAGCAAAACTGATGAGGGACGGGAAAATACTTCAAGACAGCGTACATGGTGCACGTGACAAACTAATCCTGAGAGGCTCAGATGAGGAACCCAGCCCCTGGCGCTCTATCACACAAGCCTGGGGGCAGTCCAGCAAAAACCACCATCACTTCACTATGGACGAGAGGTCTCAGCTTGTGGCTCTCAGGCTGGGCACAGTTCATGAATGTGTTTTCTTGGCCACAACTTTTTAAAATATTCTGGTTAGTTGGCCAACATTCAAAAATCAGGATATTTTACACAAGTCTAGATTTATGGCTCGTATTGAAAGTTGGACAATCTGGTCATACCAAGTCTACATTCTCACATGGTGACACAGACTGCAGCCAACTAGCCCCCCAGCCTGCCTCACTCATTCCATTGGCCTTTGGGCCCTGGAGGCATTTGAGTTTCCAATCCCTGAGCTAGCCTGAGCACCCACAGGGGCCAGCACTGCATGGACCCATCTTTGCTAAATTCCTTCTCCCACAGCCAGGGCTGCAAGCTGATCAGGCCACAGAACCCACAAATGAAGGCCTGGGCCTTGGGGGTTTCCCAGGGGACTGAGGTAACCCTCACTGCTCGGTCTCCCCCAGAGAGAAAGTGGAGGGAGGGAGGGAGCCAGCCCAGCAGCAGCACAGTCCTAGAGAGGATCTGGGGGAACAAGGATCTGGCTGATTTTGTTGGAAGAAGGAAAAGTATACCAAGGCCCGAAAGACACAGGGAATCTCCTCACATTCATAGGAGTGTGAAAGGTTAAGAATGCTCCTCCAGAAGGCTCTACAGTTCTGTTCTGCCTGGGTCACAAGAGATGGTGTGCAGCAGGCAAGGAGGGGCTGTGCCAGCAGACAAACCTGCACTGGAAACCTAGCCCACCACTACTGGTTGTATGACCTTGGGCAAGTCACTTCACCTCCCTGAGCCTTGGAGTCTTCATCTCTAAAATGGGGGATGATAAACTTACCTTGCACAATTATCATAAGGATTAGGAGATAATGGATGCAGAGTACTCAAGACAGGTCTCATATGGAGCAGGGACAGAATGAAAGGAGCCTGTGAATAATTTCAAAGGCACTCCTGCCTGTGGGAGGGAGACTCAGACCTGACTTAGGGCATCATCCTTCTAAGGGCATCTTATGCCAAGGCCTCAGATGCTTGGGATGATGGTCACCTCTGGTGCCCAGGACACCTCCCTGGATGGGAAAGGAAACCCAAAGGTGACTGTGGTCCCTGGGATGTTGGGTCTGAGGCCTGCGGTCAGGGCTGGCATCTGCTGAGTCAGGCCTGGGAGAGCTGGCAGGAGGGCCACTTCTCTCCCCAGCATGCTGCCCACTGAGGGGAGGTTGGAAGGGAAGCAGAGGTCATTTCCTCTGACTCAGCGGCCATTCTCCCAGAGGAGCTCCCCTGGAGGACAGGGCATCTCCGTGTGGCGCTGGCCTGCCTGTCGGCCAACCTGCATGCCACCCAGCACAGTCTGGGCTTTGTGCTCAAACAAGAAAGGGACCCTTGTGATCCAGACAATAAGCCGGGGTGCTCCTATTTGGCCTGGGCTTCAGCTTCCCTAGGTTAGCAATGTCCTTTCCTGTGCTCCTGCCCACGCTGCTCTCACCCCTTCCCAGAGAATGGTGGCTTGGAACACGGAACAGAGACCACTGCTGGCCCAAACTGCGGTCTGGCACATGCCCTGGCCATGAAGAGGAGAGATGCGAGCTTCTTTCCTCTCCCCTGGTAAGGAACATCGCCTCTGGGGCACCCAACCTGGGTCAGGCCATTTCGCAGTTGGGTGGTGGTAGTGGGGTGGGGAGTGACGGGGCAAACACCCCAAACCCAGCCTCCATGCCTCCTCCTCCCGTGGCATGACAGGCCCAGGGGCTGGGCCACCCCCACGTTTGCAGCCACCCCAAGAGCCCTGCTGCGACGACTGCAGCCACGTGGGAGCCAGTTCGTGCCCACGGGGCCGCTCGTCCCCCACCCCCACCCTCGACGGGCTGTGGAGGCAGGCAGACCCAGACCCGCGAGGGGGGAGTCCCCGCACCCCCTCTCCCTATGCGCCCTCGGGCTGTGGCCCCGTGTGTGGTGGGGGAGGGGTGGGAGGGGGCGTCGCCGCCCTGCAGCCGCGTTGCCGGGGAGCGCAACCCCGTTGCTGTGGCAACCGTTTCCAAGCGAACCGGTGGCTGCTCGCGCCCCGCTCTGGTTCCCTCGCTCACTGGCGCCCTCCCTCTCCCTCCCTCCCTTCCTCCCTCCGGTGAGGACCGGGGGAGGGGCTGGCCGGGGCGGGGGTCCGGGGCGGCGACCCTGGGCCAGGGCGTGGAGCAGCCCGCGGGGAGGAGCTCAGCCCTGGGACCATCTTCCGCCCGCGCTCCGGGCCCGTCCGGCCCGCCGCCGCCGCCGCCGCCGTGGTACTCACGGGCCCAGGCATCCTCCTCGAGCTCGTCCTCCTGGCTCGGGGCGAGCGGCGCGGGCCCCGCGGACAGAGCCCCCGGCCTGGGGGAGGCGGCGGCGGCCCGGGGGAGCTGACTGTGGACAGCGAAGGCGGCTCTGAGCGCTGGGATGGAGCGTGGGGCGCGCGCACGGGCGCGTACACGGCGCGTACCGAGCCCGGCGTGCGCGCGCGCGGCAGCCCGCAGACGGCCCCCACCCTCCGCCACTCGCCGCGGAGGAGGCTGTCCAGGGAGTCAAAGGCGAAGGACCTACCACCCACCTGCCGCGCCGAAACTGGGCAACAAGGGCGCCGGGCTCACCCTGCGCAGGGAATGTACACTCCACGCCGCACAGCTCCTGGCAATAAGCCATCTGGGCCGTGCACACGCAGGCAGACCCGGTGAACACAGGATGCTCAGCCAAGCAGCCGAGGTCGAGAACCCGGACACACACACACACACACACCCCCACACACACCTCTCAATCCGAAGAGCACACACATGTCCAGGCCCCGGCCATATCACACACACACACACACACACACACACACACACACACCTCTCAATCCGAAGAGCACACACATGTCCAGGCCCCGGCCATATCCTGGCAGGCACTGCACACACAAAGTGGGCAGAGGTTGCAGTAGTAGGCTGGCACCGCAATGTAGCTTTAAACAGGAATACCTGGCCCCCCTCCTAACTCACGGCCCCTCCGTGTCCCCAGCAAGCATACGTCACCACACGCTGACTGATAAGTAGCACAAGGAGAATCCAGTGCTGGATCCATAGCCCTGGCTCCATGCACCCCGCTCATCCCCAGGGAATGGAGGTGAGCCCTAGTGAGGGCCCCATGGTCTAGGCTGAGTCTGAATCTGGCTGTCCACCAGCTTCTTAACTGGGTTCTCTGTTTCATCGCGGGAAATCATTGCATCCCATGGGTATCACTGTGGTGACCTGTGAATCCAAATACCCTGCTCCCTCGACGCACAGTGGACAGCTTCCCAGCCCGGCCATTTGGACTCCTTGGGTTTGGAGTCAGGCTTAACAATGCAAAGACACAAACACAGCTGTAGCATCTTGCTTCCAGGGTTTTGCCCTGATGAGAATGGGGTCTGCAACTAAGACCTGGAGTTGCCCCAGTTCTGGTTCTTCCTGTTTATCCGCTTCCCCCATTTTTTTTTTTTTTTTTTTTTTGAGGAAGATTAGCCCTGAGCTAACATCTGTGCCCATCTTCCTGTACTTTATATGTGGGACGCCTGCCACAGCATAGCTTGCCAAGCAGTGCCATGTCTGCACCCAAGATCCGGGCCGGCAAACCCCAGGCCGCCAAAGCGGAACGTGTACACCTAACCACTGCGCCACGAGGCCGGCACCCTCCCTGCGCCCCCATATCCTTTTAACACTTTCTAAGTTAGCTGGAGAACAGTTGCAACCAAAGTGTCACTTGCAACCAAAGATCCTTAACAGCCTCACCTGGGTCACACGCCCTAGATGTGCATGGTGTATGCGTATGCAGTGGGTGCAAGCCAGCCCCATCTAAACCATATAGACCGGGGGAGTGGGGGAGCAAGGATGGTTCACCAAAGGGAATTTGGGGTACTTTTATACATGCTGGGCAGACACCCCAACACAACCAGCTTAAACCCTTCAGGGATTCCTGTGCCTTCCAGATGAGACCCCTATATCCTTTTTGTGTGTGTGAGGAAGATTGTTGCTGAGCTAACATTTGGGCCAATCCTCTATTTTATGTGTGATGCTACCACAAGATGGCTTGATGAGCAGTGCTAGGTCCACACCCAGGATCCAACCCTGTGAACCCTGGGCCACCGAAGCAGTGTGCGTGAACTTAACCACTACACCACCAGGCCGGCCCCAACACATCCTTAAGACAGCTTTCAAAGCCTTGTGTGGCTGCATCTCACTGACCTCAGCTCCAGTCACCCTTCCATCACCCATCCATCCCACCCCATGTTCAGCCATCCTAAACCACTAGAGGCCCTGCACCAACCATTAGCTCCTCCACCTGGGAACATCTGACCTTCTGTCCTGGAGGGCAGCAACTCTGATACTTTTGGGGCCAAGGAGCCTACCCTGCTTGGTGTTGGCCCCCACCTCCATCCCCAGCCCTGTGGCTGTCCCAGCCCTGCCAGCTCTAGAATCACCTCTGCCACGGAGCTGATCACACTGGATTCCCACATCTGCCTCCCTCCCAGACTGAACTCCAAGCTGGTGGGGGCCTCATCTCCGTCTGGATCCCCAGCTTCCACCCTAGAGCTGGATGGAGAGGGGAGCTTAGGGAAGGCTCGTAGGGAAGTGAATCCTGACCTTCCTCTGCCAAAGGGCCACTGTAAGCTTTAAGGTGAGTGGAACCCGAGCCAAGAAGTTCCCTGAATGCCTCCCTAGCCCAAGAGGGAGCTTGGTGGGAGGTTTGGACCCACGCACAGGCAGTGTGCCCCAGGGACCTATCCGTCCACCTGGCACTCACTCACCCTTGCACACCTGTGCCCACAGCTGGGCTTCCACCTCTGCATGCTGACCTCCTCACTGCCCTACCGCCCCTCAGGCCGAGCCTAGAGCAGAGGGGCAAATGCTCCTTAAGCCTCAACCTCATGCCTCAGGGGTAGGATACAGCATCTTCATCTTCAGCTCACTTCCTCTCCACTGTGCAACAGCCACTCATCAGCTGGAAGCCTTGAGTAAGGCCCTCTCCCTACCCCGTTTCCCTCAAGTTAACGGAAGAGGCAGCACACACTGCACACCATCAAGAGCTGAGCTGGCACAAGGGGCCCCTTCTGCCAAGTCGGTGCTTGGAGCCTTCTCGCTGCCCTTGACATAGCCGTCAACTCCCCCATCAGGCGAGTCCTGCCAGTGACCTAGGGACCCAAGGGGGTGACTGCTGCTTTGGTGGTGGATTCTCATGGCTGTCCTGCAAGGCCATGAGTATCACACCCATTTTTCCAGACAAGGGAAGGGAGTATGCAAAGCCAGCTTGAAAAGTGGCCAGGCTGGGACTTGAACCCAGAACTGTCCAACTGCAAAGCTCATGTGGCCCCTGTGGCACAGTGCCCAGCCCAGAGGCAATGAATAAACCCTTATGGTGGTTACCGGGCATCCCTAGGGGCTGGGGCTACTGGCAGGCTATGAAGCAGCAACAGGTCTGTGAAGTCTGGAACAGACTTGTGGTCAACAGACTGTCACCCACGAGTCTTTGCATGGGTGGAATACTATGGAATGCTCCCTCAATCCCTCCCTGTCTCCCAGATGAATACGTCCTCTCAAGGCCCAGTTCACTTGCTATCTTCAAAGAACCCTCCCTGATGCCCATGCGGCTGGTCCTCATACACCCCTGCCACAGCCTAACTCTCAGCATCACCACTGTCTCGTCTCCGCCCAGCCACATTTACTGCCTCAAGGGCAGAGCAGAGGGACGGCTCGAACGCATGTGTGCTGGCCCTGGGCCGGGCACATGGCAAGCATCTAGCTAAGACAGGTCAGGCAGGTGTTCCTAACCGCAGCTCCCACCTCACTCCAAGCCCACAACCAGGGTGGAGGGGACACCACCAGCTGAGCCTGCCTCACCAGCATGGGCGGAACCAGACCCAGCCCCTAGTGGGGAACCAAGGCTTCTTCCTCAGGCCTCATCTCACTCAGGAAGCTGAGAAACCCACTGGGTGAGCCTGAAGGCCATCCAGGCCTGCTTGCCTGGACAGGCTACTCCAAGCTCAGCCCTGGGAGCTCCTGGGCCTTGCTGGAAGGGCAGCCCCTGCCAGGCCCACCTCCAATCCCTTCCCACTTCCAGCAGGGCCAGGGAAGCAGGAAGACCCCTGCAGCACCAGGAGCAAGAAAGAGGCAGGCAGGGGCAGCTGGCCAGGTTTGTGCTCGGACTGTATTCACACAGAAACACGTGGCAGCTTACATTGGACAAAATGAGTAATAAAAATTGGCTTTAAATATGGAAAAACCAGGGCCCTGTAATCCCATGCTAGCCTAACACTGGGACTAGGATGGCCATCACAGTCTGGGAAGGGCCAGGGCTGGGGCCTAGGGCACAGGCACACAGCCTCAGCCTACCCCCTCCACACACGCATGCACACACACACACACACGCTCACACACACACCCCACAGGCACACACAGGGAGGGGCAGATTATTGCTGGGCTATGTGTCTCTTGTTACGAGGGGAGTTTGGAATGTTTGAGGGCTGGCCAAGGACACCCCTCCCCTCTTCCCATGGCCTGGGCAGGGGTGTATCTACCAGAGGTATCTGCAGGACACGGCCCAGCATGAGGGATGAGGCGCCCTGGGAGCTGGAAGGCAGAGGCAGACCCATTGGGGACACCCTGGGCAATGACCGATGGGTCCCAGGGTCAGCCCAATCTCTGGTCACACTTTGGCACAGGCCTAGGGGATGCAGAGGCTCCAGATCCAGCTCTGACAAGTGCTGAGAAGGGACAGTATCAGGCCCCAGAAGGTGGTGGCCTGAGCCTAGAGCAGCAGGGGCAGGCACGAGTCTCACTCAGAGGTCGGTGGTGGCGCGCACAGTGCTGGGGGCTCAGGACCCTGGCCTGGCCCAGCCTCAGCCCATCCACGCTGGGCCTGAGGAGACTTGAGTTTGGCAGTGGCCCCTCTGCCAGCTCCAGGGTGGGTCTTAAGAACGCTCTGGTTGCTATATACATTCGTACAAATACATAAATACAGAAAGCCCCGAGCTCCACAGACAAGAGCTGAAGGGACGCACCTTTGTCCCAGGGACAGCCCAGGCCTTCCCAAACTCAGCCAGACCAGGGGCTGAGGGGCAGAGGACACTGGAGACAGCTCCGGCTGTGTTCCCCAGCTGTGTTCCCCGGCTGTGAGTGGAGAATGGGGAAGACCACTGTGCAAAACTGTAAACAGCGCTCCAAGTAGCTGCTACCGCCAACCACCGGTGGGGGCCTCAGGCTGGGGGCTAGAGGCGGGTGGGGGGCTCGAGGCGGGTGGGGAGCTCTTCCTCACTGTCGCTGCAGTTCCCACAGCAATCCTGGAGTGGTGGGAGACATGGAGGGAAAGAGGCAGAGCAAGCACCGTTAGCCACCAGTGCCGTCACCCAGGCTGGCCCTGCCAGGACAGGCCAGGAGCTGCCTGGGGCCATGATCTGGGGACAGGGCTCCCCAGGAGTGGCCTGAAGCAGCAGCTCAGGCCAGACATGTTCGGACATCAGTGCAGGGGCTGCCAGCAACAGACAGAATTAAGGGGGACGAGGTGGATCCCTGGCTCTGCCAGGGCAAGGCCCCGTCCAACCCCTCTTCCCTGGGGCCGATGGAGGCAGGGCATGGGGAGACAGACGGCTAAGCAAGGCTAGCAGCTTGAAGGTGCCAGGGTGCAGGGAACAAAAACAGTGGGGAGGGGGAGGCGGGGAGAGGGCACCAGACTTCTTTCACCCACATCTCGCCTCTGCCATGGAAGGGCTGCCCGTGGCTCCCCAAGGCCGGGCAGTAAGCCCAACCCACGGGGAGCCCACACTGCTCACCTCTGGAAAGAGAAAAGAGGCCGTGAGCCCAGCCAGGGTTGGGGATGAGGCCAGAGACCCTGGGCACCACTGGCATGACTGGAGGAGGCCCACTCCCAGTGCACGTGGGCACCAGCTCTGCCTCCCACCCACCGTCCCCTGGAGCCAGGCTGGGGGCCCAGGTACACTGCTAGGGGTTACCTGGCGACTGAAGAATCTCTGCAGCAGTCCCTTCTTGGGGGGCGCAGGAGGCTGGCCCTTCCAGTCCAGGTCTGGGGGAACCGAGCCGTCCAGCCCAAAGACATTCAGCTCCTGGAAGCACTCGGTCTCCACCATCTGCCGCAGGACAGGCAGCTGTGAGAGCTGCCCCCAGGGCCGCCCCCAGGAGCCCACCCCACCAGCTGGGCAGGCCCCCACCTCGTTCTGCCAGGGGATGGGCACACTGCCCGTAGCAAACTTCTGGTAGAAGTCCTGGTCAGTGGGCTCCAGCTCCACACCCTTAACCGTGGAGAACTGTTCGATATCCAGAACATCCTTGCAGTAAATGGCCTGAGGCTAGGGGACAGAGGCAGCGGTCAGATAGGAACACCACGCGCACAGGCGCAGGAGGACAACTCAGCTCTGAATGCCACTCCAGCCTTGACCTGGCGGTGCGACCCTTGCAGCTCTCTGGTGCACCAGGTGCCCTGTGCACTTCCTAAGCATGGCAGTCCCTTCTCTCTGAAGCCCAGTTTCTCCTCTGTAAACCAAGGATCACTATCCCTCACTGCTCACCGACTGATGAGGCTGCATAAAGGCCATGCCTTTCCCAGGTGGTGGTAGCTGACCCACGACAGCCAACCAGCCCCCAGAGTGCCTGGTGGGATCAGTGACAGGCACCCCCTCCACCTGCACACAGCTGCCTGGGTGTGCAACTCCTGAGGGAAGCACAGGGTGAATCTCGGCCGGCCTTTGTGGCTGGGCACCCCATGCCAGGCCTGCAGCTGATGCATCCCCTGGCTGGGATGTCCACCAGCTTGCTGCATCCTCTCACGCTTCATAGAGGATCAGAGCCGTCCTCCCATCTCCCTGCACTCCCAGCCCCTCCTGGGAGCCGACCTCAGTCTAGAGGCCACTTTCCTTTACATCTTTACAATGTTTTCTAAATCCTATGATTAAAGATGTCAATTAAAACACCATCATGGGCTGGCCCGGTGGTGCAGCGGTTAAGTTCACACACTCTGCTTCTCGGCGGCCCGGGGTTCGCCAGTTAGGATCCCGGGTGCGGACATGGCACCGCTTGGCAAAAGCCATGCTGTGGTAGGTGTCCCACATATAAAGTAGAGGAAGATGAGCATGGATGTTAGCTCAGGGCCAATCTTCCTCAGCAAAAAGAGAAGGACTGGCAGTAGTTAGCTCAGGGCTAATCTTCCTCAAAAAATAAATAAATAAATAAATAAATAAGAAAAATGTAAATCATATGTGTACATTAAAGGAAAATCATCATGTGGGGGCCAGCCTGGTGGCGTAGTGGTTAAGTTTGTGTGCTCCACTTCGGTGGCCCACGGTTTGCAGGTTTGGATCCTGGGCATGGACCTAACACTGCTTGTCAAGCCACATTGTGGCAGTGTCCCACATAAAATAGAGGAAGATGGGCACAGATGTTAGCTCAGTGACAACCTTCCTCAAGCAAAAAAAGGAAGATTGGCAACAGATGCTCAGGGCCAGTCTTCCTCACACAGACACACAAACACACACACAAAACAAATCATCATGTAAAATGGTGCAGCTGCCTTGGAAAATAGTTTAGCAGTTTCCCAAAAGGTTAAACGTAGCATGACCATATGAACCAGCAATTCCACTCCTGGGTATATATCCAAGAGAAATGAAAACATTGTCCCCACAAAAACTTGCATGTGAATGTTCATAGCAGCATTATTCCTAATAATCAAAAAGTGGAAACAACTCTAATGTTCATCAACTGATGAACAGATAAACAAAATGTGGCATGTTCATACAATGGAATATTAGTCAGTCATAAAAAAGGAACAAGTACCAATACGTGCTACAATACTGATGAACCTTGAAAACACTTGAAGTGAAAGAATCCAGTCACAAAGGACCACATATTGTATGATTCCATTTATATGAAATGTCAGATTAGGCAAATCTATAGAGTCAGAAAGTAGATTAGTGGTCACCAGCGGCTGGGGGAGGGAAGAATGGGAGTTTTTTGGGGGGAAGGGTGATGAAAATGTTCTAAAACTGATTGTGGTGATAGTTGCACAACTCTGAACATGCTAAAGCCATTTAATTATATACTTTAAATGAGTAAATTGTATGGTATGTGAATTAAATCTCAACAGAGCTGTTAAAAACAGCATCACCATCAAGCTTCCTTTCCATCTGCTGCTTCTAAACAATTAGACTCCAGGGCACTGATTTTCTAACTTTTTCTAACTTTCTAACCCGGGAGCGGTGGGATGATTTCAAGGTTAAATGAGATGACATCCACGGGAAGCAGGAGTAAACCTGAGTGGCAGTGCCAGCCCTGAGACGGGCTGCTGGAAGTCAGGCCCTTGGCTCAATCGCCCACGGCAGTGCCCGCACGGCAGGTGCTGGTGAGGCTGACATGACACAGTCCTTTAGAGGCAGCAGACCCCCAGCTGGCCTACCATTTCAACTCCTCTCTACAGCCCACCCCCCAAACCTCCCATTCCTGCTCAACATTCCCCCAAGGCCCCTGCCACACTTAGAAGAAGGCCACACACAGCCTTCCCTGCACATGCGCACGCCAGCCACACTGGCCTCCTCGTGGCTGTTCTCTCTCGAGGCTGGTCCCTGCACCAGGACCGCAATGCCCGGCTGCTCTTTCTCCCTGGAATGCTCACACCTCAAAACTTGGCACAGCTCTCTCCTTCACATACTTTAGATTTCTGCTTAACCAGAAGCTCCTCAGAAACCATCTTGTCTAAAAATACTCCCACCGCCCCCATCATTTCTTATCTTCTTAGCCTGCTTTATTTTTCTCTGCTGTACTTTACATTACCTGAAATTCTTTTTTCACTTACTTTACTTTGGTGTATCTCCCCACTAGAACATGAAGGCAGGACTGGGTCCTGTGGATCTCACTATCTCTGAGATCGGGCACATACAGGCACTCAGATATTTGTTGAATGAATAAACACTCATGTGTGTGGTTGATAGCCATCAACCTGGCCTGCCCATCACCTTCCTGCCTCCCCAGTGTTCCTAGTGAACTGTCAATCACAGGACCCAGTCCTCCTACACATGGGAGGGGGCAAGCACAGGACCTAATCTTGGCCAATCAGAACATGCCCTGTGACTTTACGGAGAGAAGCCTGAATTCAGTGGGAGAACAATCAACAGGTTGAAGCAGAGCCAAGAGTTGGAGTCCCAGCAACATGGCATGAAGCTGATGTTGGCCCTACTCTGGGACTTTCTGGCCAAACGAACCAACAAGCTCCAATGTTGGGCATCAGTAAGTTTGAGTTGAATTTTTGCCACTCGGAATCTGATGACTCGAGGACATTACTGCCTGCAGGACACCCGACGCACTGAGATGCTCAGTGAATGAGTGAGACTTTACAAGGGGTGTGTCCTGCGCACAGGCAGAAGGTCTGTGCTGCCAGGTGTAGTGGGCAGCCGACGCTCTGCCAGCCCGACAGCCCTCCCTCCTGCCAGCAGCGGCAGCTTGGTTTTCCTTTGGGGAACGGATCTCCCCCATTGGCAGTGGCTCAGCGTGACCACTGAAAGGCACCTGAGCAATCAGAGGCAATGAGCATCAGCTCAGAACTTTTTTTCGTTTTAGGACTTGTTTTGAAATTATTAGGTTGGAGGCGCTCCCCGTCTACTGGGGTGGCTGAGCTGCTGAGCCCACCACTGCTATGCCCTGGAAGAGCTGCCTGGGAGAGAGGACTACACGTGGACCAGTGTGCGGGGAGGGAGAGAATTCCTACAACACTGTTGGAGCCCCAGAGCCAGCAGGCCATAATGCAAACCTAGCCTGGGGCTTTTCATTTGCCTGAGCCCAGTGAATGACCTGTTTTGTTGGCTAAGCCATTTGAGTAGGCTTTTCTGGCACTTGCACTGAAAGTGTCCTGACTGACCCCTGGGAGCCCCCTGTGCCCCCTGCAGGAGTGGGCAGCACTCACATCCGGCTTGAAGGGCGGCTCCAGCATGCCGGCTCCCAGCCGCTTGAAGTTCAGCTTCTTGAAGAGGGGGTGCTCCTTCACCTCGCGGGCGCTGCCCCCACGACACCCCAGGCGCTCGGCAGGGTCCTTGCAGAGGAGCTGCGGCAGGGCAGGGCTGGTCAGGGTGGCCTCGGGAGAGGAGCCCCCAGGCCCAGCCCCAGTTGGATGGGGGCACGCTGGCAGCCATACCTGGGAGCAGAGCGAGCGGGCCTGCGGGGAAAAGCGCTCAGAGTACTCCTCCTGCACCTCCTTCACTAGCCGCTCGACCTCCTCCCGCTTGATCTTCTTTTTCCTCTGCTGGAAGGGGGACTGGCCTGCGATCATCTCGTACAGCAGGCAGCCGAGTGCCCACCAGTCTGGGCTGAACGTGTACCGTTCATTCTTCACCACCTCCGGAGCTGGGCGGGGTGGCATGAGAGTTAGGGCTCAGCAGGAGGTGGGAACCCAGCCCTGGGGCCCCGGGAATGCCCAGCGTATGTCAAGGTGGGGGATCAGGTCAGACTGGTGGCCCCGCTCAGACTCGGGGGCCAGGGGCAAGTAGAAGAGCTCATCCCATCAAAGGGAGCTGACATGGCCCTGGAGGGGGCCAGGTCTTCTGAGTCTTCCAGAGAAGTCAGAAATCCATATTTTTAACGTGAAACTGTCTGGCTTATCAAATGTTGGAGACCAATTCAAATTGCTTTAAAAAGAATTTGACTTAAACACAAGCATAGGCCAAGTTAGGCCCATGCAGCTACCAGTTTGCAAGTTCTGGATTGAATATCAAAGAGAGGAAAGAAGACGGCCCACACACATGCTGGATGCTTCCTGCTGGCCAGGGCGGGCAACGGGGAGTCACTTCCTCTATTACTTCTTTTCATTTTCAAGGCAACCCTGGGAGCAGTTCTGATGGTCACTTTACAGCCTGGGAAAGCACGGCTGGCAGAAGTGGAGTGTCTGTTCCAAGGACACACGCAAGCAAGAGGTGGAGCCCACAGCTGGGGCTCTGTCTACTGTGTCACATGGTCCCCAAGGGGACTGTGAAGCCACATCTTTGCCCCAACAGGGACGGGCACTCTCACTCCCAAGTGTGGGCAGATCAGGGGAGCAAAGGGCTGGGGCCACGGGAACAGGTTTGAGTCCCTTCTCATCCCTCACTGGTAGCCAGCTGCAGGCCCAGCCAATACTAAGAGATCAGTAAGTATTTAACGAATGGTGTGGGGCCCTGGCTGACTCTTGGCCTCCTAATCTGTAAAAGAAGGACATCAGCTCTTCCTACTCCCTGAGGCACAGGAGACTCCCAAAAAGAAGTGGTGGGGGGGCTGGCCCCGTGGCCGAGTGGTTAAGTTCGCGCGTTCCGCTGCAGGCGGCCCAGTGTTTCGTCGGTTCGAATCCTGGGCGTGGACATGGCACTGCTCGTCAGACCACGCTGAGGCAGCGTCCCACATGCCACAACTAGAGGAACCCACAACGAAGAATACACAACTATGTACCGGGGGGCTTTGGGGAGAAAAAGGAAAAAATAAAATCTTTAAAAAAAAAAAAAAAAAAAAAAAAAAGAAGTGGTGGGGCCAGGCCCGGGACAGCAAGGGGACCCGGGAGGTGGAAGGGGGAGACTCACCCATGTAGCCCACGGTTCCCACACGGCCTTTGATGGTCTGGCCCTCGGGCACGTGCACAGCCAGCCCCAGGTCAGAGATGCGGATGTGACCTGAATGTGGGTAGAGAAGCAGGGGGGCCTGTAAGCAGGCAGGCCAGACCCCAACCCTACTCCACTCCACCCCACCTGTGGCCCCCCACCCACCGTGGTCATCCAGTAGGATGTTCTCTGGCTTCAGGTCCCTGTGGGGAGAGAAGGGCAGGGTCAGATGCTGCTCAGCTTGCCAGGGAGCCAGATGGGGCCGCCCCCAGCCCTGCCCGCCCCCTGGGATGGGATGTGCAGGAAGGTGCAGGAGCCATTTGCTGCCAGGTCAATTCACAGCCCTGACTCGAGGGAGCAGCGGAAGGATCTAGGGAGCCAGGACTCCCAGGACTCGCTAGGCAAGTGGAAGGCAGCTCTCACCCGGGGGAGGCTCCTTGGATGTCACCAGTAGCCTTGCTCACCCATGGTGTCTAGCGGCTCCTGCCCTCCCCGCTTCAGCTGACTCTAGCTTTCCTATCTGTCAAATGGGGCTACTCATCTGTCCCCTGATGAGGTTCAAACAAAACCACTGCCAATAACAATAATAAGCAGAGCCCTCCCCTGCAGAGCCCTGCCTGCTGGGCTCCGTGCACTTTACTGCATTACCTCATTCATTCCTACACAATCTGCCAGGCAGGAATTGCAGTCTCTGCTTCCCAGGAAAGGAAATGGTGCTGGGAGCAGAGCGCTGACTGGCCCAAGGTCACACAGAGAGGGGTGACAACGCCAGGAGTCACACAGAGGTCAGCCAGACCCCAGAGCCTTAGTCTGAGCCTCTCAAGTCCACCTAGTGTGGTCGAGTGTGGAGCCCCAAGCCGGTGCCTGCCTGGTGCTCAGACAGGCTTGTGGCTGCAGTGACAGCCCCAGCACACCAACATCCTTCCACCCACAACCAGCTGCAGCCCCTGGTGGGTGGCCAGAGCCCTTGTACCTGTAGACGATGCGCTCTCTGTGCAGGTCCTCCAGGCCACAGCAGATCTCCGCGGCATAGAAGACGGCCCGCGCCTCCGGGAAGCCAGCCTGACCCATGTGGTAGATGTGGAACTTGAGGTCGCCGCCGTTCATCAGCGTCAGCACCAGGCACAGCGCATCCTTGGTCTCATAGGCATAGGCCAAGCTCACCTGTGGCCGAGGGAACCCGAGCTCTCAAGCAGGGGCTGGGGGCTGCCTGGTGGCAGGGCTGGTGCCACCCACCCAAGAAATCCTTCTCAGTGCCACTCCTTGGGGTTCAGCCTGCTCCCCAGGCCTGGCGTCAACACCCCAAACCTCCCGGCCCAGGCATCTCGGAGGGCGGAGAGGCGGTGCCTACAGGAGGCGGGGCAGGGCGGGAAGAGACCTTAGCCTGGCGAGTGAGGCGGGCAGGGCAGCTCATGGCCAGGGGGAAGGGTGGGGTCTCCTGTCTGTACTTACTACAAACCTACTGTTCACTTTCTCCAGGATCTGCTTCTCATTGAGCGCCATGGCCTCCCCTTTCCGCTTCTTGATCCGCTTCTTCTCCAGCTTCTTGCAGGCGTACATCTTGCCAGTTGCCCGCACCTGGCAGGCGCACACCTATAGCCAGGGTAGATGGGGCAAATCGGGACCATTCGTGCCCTTCCTGGGCATGCAGGGACTCAGGGCGGGTAAGAGGTCGGTCCAGGGCACCCCTACCCGACCCTCTGCACTCTGCTGGGGGCTCTGGCCTGATCACTCACCTCCCCAAAGCCGCCTTTGCCCAGGACTCGGTATTGCCTGAAGGTGTTTTTGGTCACTGGCTGCCTGTGAGCAAGGGGTTGGGAGCAAATGCTGGCTGAGCAGGAGCCTGAGGCCGTAAGAGCCCCAGTAAGCTGGCCTACCCCAGCCCAGCCCTCAAGGAGCTCACCTTTCCAGCCACTTCCACTGCAGAAAACGGTTGAAGTAGATGCTGTCGAGGTAGTCGGCAAAAGGGGCCACACTCAGGTACTCGTGGGTCAGTCTGTGGAGAAGGCCCAGCCTTCTGGTCAGCCCAACACCCCAGGTTCTTGGCTTGATGGGCCAGGACCCTGTTATGTGCATGCTCAGCCCAAAAGGCAGCATTTCAGCCAACCCTCCTGCTAACCCACCCAGCGGAGCCGGCCTGGGCTGAAGCCGAGGGTGCTGGAGGGAGGGGGGGCAACCCGCCCAAGGGCGCACAGCTGGGACGAGGCTAGGGGGAGAGCTCCCTCACCAGCTGCTGAACTGTTCACAGACTTCCAGGCTCACAGAAGCCCCCTCTTCAGGACACAGTTCCAGGCCTATGGGCAGGGAGAGGCTTACCGGGTGAGCTCCTGGAAGAGGTCTTTGCAGGGCCCCTGCTCGAGCCGCTGGGTGCAGTTAGTCACTAGCTGCCGGGGGACCTCGGGGATGAGGTCAGGACCCTGGGGACAGGCCACAGGTCAGGGCAGGGGGCTCCCCTGGCCAGCTGCCTATGCCCAGGGCAGATATCTTGGGCCTGTACTAAGGGCAGCTGCAGGCTGGAGGTGCACCAGGCTCCTGGGTTGCTGAACTCCGTTCCTGCCGCTCCCCTTGAGGCAGAGTGAAGCAGAGTCTCTGGCAGGCTTGCCTGCAGGCCTGCCCGGAGCCCCGGCCCACTCTCCTGGGCTCCGTGCCTGCGGGACTGCCTGGTGAGCCTGGAGTAGCTCCAGGACACTCTCTGCCCAGGCTGTGGTCATCCCTCTTCCCATCACCGAGCTCTGCCCACTGCCGTCAACCCTCCATCACTGCTCACTCACCGTGTGGCTCAAAAAATTCTGCATTAGCCGCCGCCCACACGCCTTCCGCTTCTCATCAGGGGTCACTTCATACTCGGCCTACAGGGTGGGAGGCAGGGGGGTTGGGGTTTGGGCAAAGCAACAGGTGTGGAGAGATGGGGCACATGTGGCCCTGGACCTCTGCCTGCCCTCAGGGTTGCGCTGGGCCCCATGGCTGGGCTACACTCACCACCCCATCCAAGAAGGCAATGCAGCGGGTCAGCTCAGGCCTCGTCGCACAGAACTCTCGGAACAGCAGGCGTCCGATGGGCTGCCGCTCGCACAGGCTGTGGTAGTCACGTTCTGCAGGCAGAAGTGGGAGTTGCTGGGTCCCCAGACCTGGAAGCTGCTGGCAGGGCACTCCTGTCCACATCGCCAGGCCCTGGACCCCAACAATAGCTTCTCGCCCTGCAATATCGCAGTCGTTATCTCCTTTACAACCCTCAACAAAACACTGAGGTGGGCACTACTGTTATTTCCATCATAGCTTGTGGGGCCAGGGGGCTAAGTGATTAGCCCAAGGTTACACAGCCAGGAGTGTGGCTCCAGGGCTGGGGCCCTCACCTCCCCCCATTCTCTCCTGGTTCATACCACTTGCATACGTCACAGCGCTGGGGTTGGGTGCGGTCTGTGAGGTTCCGGCCCAGCCTCTGGGCCAGGCCCACACCTGCTGCCTGCCTGGCGAAAGTGTGGGAGGAAGCTGTGGCTTCCGGTGAGCTCGAGGCTAGGCCTCCTTCCCAGGGCGGTAGAAGCAGCCATGGTATATCCTTGCCCACGTGCAGGCTGTCATAGGGGGCCTGGGTAACCTTGGGTGCTGCTCAGACCTGGGGCCTCGGCCAAGATAAGTAGGAACTGGGGTCCCGGGCCCTTCTTATCAAGGCTTTGCTGGGCCCTCCCCCAAGTGCTGGGCTTGGTAGGGCTGAGCACAGGCCTGGGGCTCCCAACACAGTCAACCTATGGGCTGGCTCCAGGCCCCACTGCGCCCTATGTACATGAACCCTGCTCACCCTGGTCCCAGCCCTCCCTTCCTCTGCTTCTCTCAGACCGCCCAGATCTGGCGCTGCCCTCCTCCCACGCCCACCCCCCAGCCCTGCTGTCCTGTTCGTTCTCTGCCCTCCACCCATCCCAAGCTCAGGAACCGAAACTGGGTTGGGCGGTGCAGCCTCAATCTTCCTGCTCCCTGGACCCTCCAACCCTGCCCCTCTGCCCCGGAGTGAGGTCTCAGGGGAGCTGCCCTGGCACCAGCGGTCCCCTTCGCCTCAGCACCCCCCGCTCCCCGCCCAGGCCTCACCAAGGCTGTGCCGCAGCTCTTCACACTGGCTGATGTGGGGGAACTGCAGCATCTGCCGCCATTTCTTGCTTTTGCCTTTGCGATTCCCACCGCCACCTGTGGGAGCAAATAGGCGCTGGCTCTCGAGTCCCACCACTGCCACGCCGCCCTGCGATCCTCAGGGCACTGCAGAGGCCTCAGACCCAGCCCAGGCATAGCCCACTCTCGGGCCTTCCTTCCACCTGCTCCAACATGCCCTCACTGGGTTCCAAGACACACATGGTCCTGCAGGCCCTGCTGCCGGCGCTTGGGCTGAAAGAGCCAAGACGGGCAGTGAGGCCAGGCCGCTGAAGGAGGGTGGGATTTCCAGGTGGCTTCACAAGTCTCAGCTGCTTTCTACCAGGTGGGAGTTTCCCAAGTGAAGAAAGTAGACAAGGACATGCCAGTGGTGGGAAATGTCAGTCAAGGCCCAGAAAGGAGAGACTCCAGGACATGTGGGTCGTGCCCGAGAGATGGCAGAGGGCCGCCTGGGTGACCGGGGAGGCTCCGGGCCCTCATTTCTGGGCCCTGCATCAGAGCTATCAGAGACTCAAACCAGATGGTGAGAGGAGGGCTGGCACTCAGGATCCCCAGCCCTGCACGAAGGGCTTCCCTGGCCCTGCTTGATACCTGCCTCATTTTACCTAGCTGACCCTCATCTGTGGCTGCTGGGCCCATGGTAGCAGCTCAAATGCCTACAGAGCCAGACAGGTACGGTAACTGTGGGCCAGATGGGGGACAACAGGGAGTGGTGGCGAGTGTGGTGGACAGGACTGGGTATGCCCCTACTAATAGCAGTAGCTGCAGCACAAGTCCAGCCGATGGCTTGATTGTTGCTAGGCAGGGATGCTGGATGAGTGTGGCCGGCGCTACCAATTCTCCAAAAGCAGCTGGGAATACGGACTATTACATGAAATACTGGTTCCTATTTTTTTAAAAACCCACTGCAGCCAAATAAATAAAACATGTTAGAGAGATAGACAGATGTGGCCCGTGGGCCATGAGGTTGAAAACGGTGGCAGGGGCCTGAGTCTTAGAGTCTCACAGACCTGGGTTTAAATCTCCAATCCACACTGTAGGCCTCTCACTTGCCATCTATGAACCTCAATTTCTCCATGTGTACTCTGGGTCCAAAGCCACCTTGGGAGGTGGTGGGTGACTGGGAAAGTCTGTGTCCAGCACTCAATAGGACTGTGGCAAAGTGGGCCCCCCTGCTCTAACAACTCAGTGGCAACCTCAGGCAACCACTTTCCCTTGCCCAGCCTCAGTTTCCCCTCCGGTTTAGCCAGCCTTATTTCCATCTGGCCTGGCTGAAGGCAGGTGGTGCAGAGGGAGGGGCTGCCTTCTAGGGAGGGAGCAGGGCTGGGTCCCTTGAGAGGCTCCCTGACCTAAGCTGCTTGGAGGAGGAAGTATCACAGGGCACCATTGGGAAACCTGCTAGCACGCCTCCTGCACCCAGCACACCCCACAGTCATTGCTCCACTGTGAGTGAGGAACAGACCCCCACCCCCAACCCCAGACAAGGCCTCCCCAGAAGGGGAACTCCTCCCCCACCCCCGCAGGTCCCTCACCCAACCCTCCATCCGCCTGCCTCCCCCTACCAGTTACTTCCTCCTCCCCCTCCTCCCAGCCACAACAAGGCAGCAGCAGAGTCACATGCAAATATCCTGTCCTAGAACTGCCACCAGAGTCAGTGGGGCTCCTCCCCACCCAAGGCTGGCCCCCTCTCTGTGTCTCTAGGCGCCTGGGAAAGGAAGGATGAGCGAGGGCTCACACCCCCAGTGCTGCCCCACTTCACCCTCCCAGCAACTCTGTCAGACTGGGCCCAATTTCATAAAAAACTGGGGCCCTGAAATGAAGAATCAGTTTGTGCAAGATCCAAAGCCTGGAGGTGCCAGAGGCAAGATTCGAACCCAGGTCCCTGGGAGACCACAACCCAATCTCCTTTCCCACTCCAAACATGTCGGACATCTATTAGGTGTCAGCTGAATACATACACCAAGGGTTCCCAAAACACCTAGGGCCTCAGATCACTTGGGAAGCTGGCAAAAGCCCAGGCCTGTGCTGTCTGCCAGGTCGCAGAGAGACTCCGACACAGCCAGTCTGGGGGCCAGGATTTGGGACTCAGTGACAACTGGGATTTCCTTTAGTTTTCATGTCCTGTCCCCAACTATTCCACAAAAAGGGTTACTAAAGTTCTAAGAGAAGAGACTTGTCTAGAGCCATGCAGACGGGAAGGGCAGAGCCAGGTCAGGGTATGGGCTCTCCAGTGGAGCCACCAGTTCCCGATGCGACCATCCTCTGCTACGTCTCACCTGGAGCCTGAGGAAGCCTGTCTGAAGGTGCCCATGCTCTCCGGCCGGGCAAGGCAGTGCTCTCAGCGGCCTCAGGCCTGAACTGGCTTCAGCCCTAGGGAGAGAGGCCTGGCCAGGCTCTCCCTACCCCTCCTCCCTGGCTGGCTGGATGACGAGGCAGAACAGAATCGGCAGATGCCCCCAGAGGCTGGAGGAAGGCCCAGCCCCAGGACTCGATAAGGGACAGGAGATAAGGAAAGCTCTGGGCACTAAGGATCCAGCCTGCCGTGCCCGTTTCTAGGCAGCACCTCCCCAGGGTCAAAATGCACTGGGCAGGCAGGGGGCACCAGATGCCAGCTGGGGGCTCCTCTGAGCTTCCCACAGACTTTGTTGGGGGCATCCTGTGACCCAGGCCTGAGTCTACCACAGTCTCGCTCTGTGACCTAGGAACTAGTCCCTGGTCTGCGCCTCAGTTTCCCATCTGTAAAATGGGTTAGAAAGGTGAAGCAGTGACTTTTTCAGCCTGGAAGCCCAACAAAGAATGGAAAAACTGTCATGACCTCCCCGCCCTAGAATTCCGAAAAGGGTCTTGTTCACTGCTGGGTCTCAGCACCCTGGACAGGACGGGGCACAGAGTGAGTTCGGTTACCATGTTATTGAGGTGGACAATGGCAGGTGAGGGGCAGACTGACCACAAGGCAGTGAGGACTAGGTCTGGTCCTTCCGTGTCCCCCATGACCATCATAGAGCAGGTGCCCGGTAACTTACATCTGGGATGGGAACCACGAGGAGCTCAGCACACAGTTCACCAGACTGGCTCCCTCTGCCAGGCCTTGCCTACAGTCCCATCACCCTGCATGCTCTCTTCCTTCAAAGCTCAGCTCCCACTTATTTCTGTGCCCGTTTGCCCCACTAGACCGTGGGCTTCCTGGGAGCAAAAATCGTGACCCATTCACCTCTGTCCCCAGTGTCCTGAGGCACCAAGCAAGTGCAGTCGTGCTGGCAGCATATGTGACCAGCAGTTTCCCCCAGTCGGGTGGGCTGTGCTACGCGGAGGCTCCGTTCGTTCATTCATTCTCCAACGTTTCCCCTGCACCAACTTTGTGCCGGGCCGGGCCGGGCGCGGGGGTCTGGGCCGGGGGCACGTAGGGTAGGTTGCCCCTTCCTAGGGCAGCTTCTCACCTCTCATCTGGGAGAGGCCTCGGAGAGGCACTCCCGGGGCTCAGGTCCCACCCTTCCCTCTTCCTTCCTCTCTCCTTCCCTTACCCCTCACCCCTCCCGCGCGAGGGCGGCGGCCTGACCCCCGCCCCTTCCTGGGCCCCGGCTCCCGGGGGCAGGTGCGGAGGAGGAGGACCACGAGCCGGAAGGGCTCGCATCTGCGCAGGGTACGGGGCGAGGGGCGCGCTGCCCGAGGGGATCGGGCGGCCCGGGCGCCCCGCCGAGCTCGGAGGCCGCGCGCCCGCGTTCCCTGCACCCGGCCGCCTCACCTTCCCGGGCCTTGAGTAGCACCGTGTTCGCTACGATGTTCTCGAGCTCCATGGGCTGTGGCGCCGCCGGGCCCGCCGGGCCGCGCCACCGGCCGGAATCGCGCGCGGGAGCCGGGGCCTGATGACGAACGGCGCGGCTCGGCTCGGCTCGGCTCGCAGTGACCGCGCCGCGGCCTCCCGGGCCTCCCCGGCCGCCGCCGCCCGCCGCCCGCCGCCCGCCGCGCACTCTCCGCCCCTCCCGGGGGCCACCCAGCGCCGGCCCGCCCCGCCCCGCCCTCTGTTTACTTTACTCGGCCAATAACCGGGTGGGTGCTCCCCGCGCCGTCTTCCCATTAGACAGCCTCTTAATTTTCCCCCGCCCCCCGAGCCAGGGATTCGCTCAAAGGAGTGAGGGGGCGGGACTTAGTACGTCACCTCTTCCTGGTTGGTCTGAGGTGGGATTCAGCCCCTAGGTTCGAATTTCTGGGCCTTCGTAGGATACCGAACTGCCAATTAGGGCCGAGCCCTCCGCGGGACAACGGAGGTGGGTCCTCTGGGTCACGCCCTGGATCCCGGATGTTTGATTGGATTATGCAAGCGTCAGTCATTCTCAGCAATGCACTCTGATGGGGCCATCAGATAAGGGTGTGGACCGGGTCCCTTTAGTTCGCCTAGGCTTTTCCAAGGTTTGGAGGGGACGCCCTTGGGGTCCTTTGCCTCCTGCGGGTCGGCCGCGGGCTTGTTTGGGCCATGTGTCCGGCCGTGTTTCTTTGGGTTGGCCCATCCTGGAGGGTGCACGTTGGAAGAGCGGAGAGGCCAGGAGGGAGCTGACGACCTCCCCAGCCTCAGCCTCCCCAAGCCTCTGGCCTGGCCACAGCAGGCGCCCCCGCCCTGGCCCCGCAGCCGGATGTTGTGATTTCTCTCCACCCACACGGCCTCGCCCGCCCTCGGCCTCTGCTGCCTTATAAGGCAGCAGTACCGCCCTGAGACGTTGGGATGAAGTCACACCCATTATACAGGTGAGGAGCTGAAGCGCCAGAGGTCCAGTGGCTGGCTCCAGGCCGAAGACTAGGGAGAAGACAGGCCGAAATTTTACAGCTACTCAACTTCTGGCTCAGCATCCTACCCACTCCACCCCCTCTTCACAAACCAGGAAAGGAGGCTTGCCCAAACTCAGCGACTAAGGCAGAGCCAGATTCAACTAGGGTTCTCTGATCCCTGTCCATTCATTCATCCAAAAATACAGAGCACCTGCTTTCTGCCAGGCACCGAGCCATCTGCTGGGGAATATAGTGGTGTCAGCAAGATAGCCAAGCTCCCTGCTCACATGTGAGAAGGGACTAAAGGTGATAATCCTGTAAATAAACAAATAAAGAGAATGGTCTTAGAGAGTGATAAGTGCTGCTACTGTCCGCACCGCCTAAATAGCCAAGATAAATACAGCCAATGGTTAGCATAGGTTAGCATAAAGGAAGCCATCGTATAGAGGGGAACCATGTTAGGACTATACATGACCTTGATGCACAGGACACCTCCTTTCCTTGTCAGCAATGCTCTAGTTTGCACATAGCCTAGATAAATATGCACCTGCTTGTGAGAAATATGCGTGCTCTGCTATTTTCATAGCTTTGGCTTATACATAGACTTCCCTATTCCAATAAGGCAATAACTTTGTTCTTTCAATTTTTCCAGGGATGTAACGACCTTTGGGAAAAAGCCCTCTGCTGGTATCTGTCACCGGTGACAAGAGGAAGGGATGCTCTGTAGTCTCAAGGACTACAACACCAGATGGTCAACATTCCGAGACCCACCCCCCTTTTTTGGCTCATTTACCCTATATAACTGCTTCAAAATTTTGTAGTTTTAAGATGGTTCTTTAGAATACAAGTCCACCATCTTCCCCCTTGCTGGCAAGCTGTAATAAAAAGACCCTTTCTCTCCTACCACCTTGCCTCTTGACAGTTGGCTTGTCTTACAGCGAGTAGAAGACCCCCCCCCTTTGGAAGTTGCATTAAGACATTAAGACAAAATAGGGAGTGAGGAAAAATGGTCTCAGAGTGTGACATTTGAGCAGATCCAGCCACTCAAAGCCCAAGGGGAGCAGGATTCCAAGCAGAGGCAACAGCAGGTGCAAAGGTTCTGAGCCTAGAGTAAGTTTGGTGTGTTCAAGGAACAGGAAGAAGGCCTGTGTAGCTTCAGGGCCTGGTGGTCTGAGAGGAGATGAAGGAAGGAAGGAGCAAGGACACCAGCTAGGTCGTGGAAGGCTTTGTAGACCATAGCTAGGAGTTAGTTTGTTTTTCTTCAGTGAAAGGTGAAGCTTTTGAAAGGATAATTTGTACGTTAAAGAGGTCATTCTAGCTCGTGAACTTTTAGGGGCCAACACTGGAAGCAGAGGGAGCAGTTGGGAGGCTACGGAACTCCAGGAGAGAGGGCATGGTGGCTCGGGCCAAGAAAGTGGCAGAGGAGATGGAAAAAAGGGCATGGATCAAGGATGCGTCTGGGAGTAAAGACAAGTACCTTGAAAGAGGAAAACCCAGTGGCCGGTAGGACAGAAGGTGGGTACCCCAGCCAGCTAAGGCTGTTGTGTCCAAGTGAGACTTGAGGGTTAAGTCAGAATATGCAGGTTTCGGAGGTAACTGGAGTGGGGAGAGAAAGAGCCTTCTGGACAGAGGGCCAGTGCATGTGCAAAGCTCTGTCAAGGAGGGTGGTAAGGGCCCTTGCATTCGGCACCTGAGGGCAGAACCTTGGGCTAGAGTTTCAGGTGCACATTGGGGTGGGCTTGAGGGGCAAAATGGAGGCTGAGGCCTTAGGAGGAGCCCGGATCAGGGAAGTCCTTGCAAGTTAGGTAAGGAGTTTGGATTTCGTTTTGAAGATAGGAGGGACCTGTCAAGGGTGTTTTAAGCCAGCGAGTGGTGTGATCAGATTTGCTTACACCGAGGGCTCCAAGCCACACTGTGGAGGATGTTCTAGGGGTGGGGTCAAAGGTCAGAAGAGAGGGCCTTAGGCTGAGCTGTAGACACCTGTTGTTTGGTGTTCAGCATCTGAACACCCCTCTCCTTTGGGAGGAAACCTATTAAATGCAGAGACAGGCCCTGCCTTCCAGTGGGGAAATCAGAGGGTGGCAGAATTTCCTTTCCAAGGTCCCCGGTAGTTGGAGCACATTTCCAATGCTTCCAATCAGGTTTATGAATCCAAAGCAAGTGATTAACATAAGACGTCTGATGGACCATTTAGGATTCGTTATGGCGGCAGTGGAAGGGGAGGGGGAGGTGGTCAAGCCAGGCTCCTCCTGGGTAGGGGGAGTCCGCAAGCACCCAGGAGCAGTCCAGTCAGTTCGCTGTCCACCTGAGTCACCCAGAGTTGGCTTCGTCGTTTGCAGCCAAGTATCCTGAGTAAGACAGGTGGGAGACCTTTTAAGAGGAACCATTAGAGAGGAATGACGGTAGCCCACGCTGGGGCAGTGGCCAGGGAGTGTAGACGAGCAGCCAGATTGAGAGCGCTCCTGGAGCTGGGATGAACAGGACATGGCGATTGATATGAGGTGAGGAGGGGAAAGTGTCGTGTGCAACTCTCAGGGGCTGACTTTTCAACACATTCTCCCCCTGCAGCCAAGTAGTCCTTTTTTTTTTTTTTTTTTTTTTTTTTAAGATTTTATTTTTTCCTTTTTCTCCCCAAAGCCCCCCGGTACATAGTTGTATATTCTTCGTTGTGGGTTCTTCTAGTTGTGGCATGTGGGACGCTGCCTCAGCGTGGTCTGATGAGCAGTGCCATGTCCGCGCCCAGGATTCGAACCAACGAAACACTGGGCTGCCTGCAGCGGAGCGCGCGAACTTAACCACTCGGCCACGGGGCCAGCCCCCAAGTAGTCCTTTTTAAAAGGGAAACCTGCCACCAACTATCTGAGATATGCATTTCTAGGAATTTATCCTACAAATATAATTGCACTCAAGCAAAATAAGAAACGAATGTTCAAGCTTGTTCATTGCAGCGTTGTCTGAAAAGATGAAAGGTACTAATTGTCTTTATAGGGACTAGTTAGGTAAAATTTAGTCCTTTTCTGTACAGGAATACTATGCAGCTGTTTTAAAAGAGTGTGGAGGTGCTCTTCATGTACTGATACAAACAATCTCCAAGATATATTGTTAAATGAAAAAAGCAAAATGCAGATCAGTGTGTAAGGTTTGCTACCGTTTGCATAAAAAGGGTCAGGTAGGCTAGGTTACGCTGCAGTAACACACAATCCCCAAATTTCAGTGACTTAAAACAATGAAAGCCTCTTTCTCTGGTACACTGCACGTCCCTGCAGGCTGTTGGGAGGCAGGGATGCTCCGCTCAGAGTCGTCACTTGGGACTCAGGATCACGGGGGCTCCATCTCACTTTGTGCTTCTACAATGGCAGACAGAAAAAGGAGATGCGGTCAATCTCCATGGCCTTTAAAGCTTGCACCCGAAAGTGGCACAAGTCACTTCTGCTCACATTTCATTGGTCAAAGCAAACCACACGGCCACGACTAACTCGAAAGGGGTGGGGAGGTACAGCACTGCCGTAGCAGATGGTATTTTCCAAAGATGAGCGTCACAATAAGCTCTCATCCCACAGGCACTTCTTCAGTGTGACCTTGACACCCCCACATCAGCAAGTGGGCTCTCATTTCCCTGTCCTTGACTCTGGTTCAGCCTTAGTGACTCTCAGCATCAGGAGAATCTGGTGGAAGTGACGCACATCAGGTCTGAGGCTAGGTCAGGAAAGCCATGCAGCCTTGTTTTCTGGCAATGCTTATTCTCCAGAAACTTCTCTCAGGATGTTCCCTCAGAATCAGTGGCCATGCTGTGAGACGCCCAAACCGAATGAAAGGCCATGTGCAGGTGCTCTGCTCTGCTTGACATTCCCCACTGAGCCCAGCCTTTCAGTTATCCCACCCCAAGCATCAGCCATACGAGTGAGGAAACCTCCAGGTGATTCCAGCTCCTGGCCATTGGAATCAGCCCCAGCCGTTCAAGTGCCCCCCGCTGAAGCCCCTGGCACTGTGGCGCGGAGACAAGCCATTCCTGCTGTGTCCTGCCTGAATTCGTGACCTGCAAAATCCATGAGCATAATAAAATAGTTGTTGTTTTATGCCCCTAAATTTGTTACACAGAGATAGATTCCTGCAATAGCTACTATACGCCTGCAAAGAGAATAGAATTGGAAATATTTGGTGAACGACACTAACTACTATGGACAAATTTGCTTCTAGGGGCGTGGCCACAGGAGGCG